CTATTTTTAGTTAATATTCTGCTACCGCCAATGGTATCTTTCTGGGCTGAATCCTTCGGTGGGCTAGGAACCATTCCACCCTGCGTTGGTTCAATGGCTGGAGGGCCGGTAGGTTCTAGTTTAGCATTAGTTTTTGGCTGAATTATTCCCATTTGGGTTGGCTCAATTGGAGCAGCGGTTGCTTCTGTCGGTTGTATGCTATTTGCTTGGACCTGGGGCAAGGGGCTTGATTTAGATGGAGGAGAAGTGGAGCCTAGTGAGTCCTTAAACTCACTCCCAAGTGGTGAGAAAATATGCGCAGGCAGAAGTTTGGCACCAGCTTCTGTTAGATACCTGTAACCTGGTGCTTCCTTACCTGATAGCTTTCTCGATCTTGTCAAGAGCATGTCCGATGCCGAAGACAGGTACCCCCGTATGTGAGAACCTTGTTTTACCGTGGATCTCTCCCTGGACCTAGTTGAATGCAACAAAGACATAAGGAGGGCCTTTTGAATTTTACGTTGCATTTCTGGGGAGAGTTTGTTCGACCCAATCATATTTTTAGTACCCAGCTTAATTGAGGTCAGAGAGTTGTTATCGTGAACTGTTCGATTCCTGGAAAGCAAAGATGACAATGATGACAATGATGACAAATGCTCTGATTGATGAAGAAACGAAGCCTTCGACGCGGATGGATTCTTTTCATCAATTTCAAACGGTGCTTTGAAGACCGATAGTTCTGGATAAAGACTTTGTAAATAATCGGCTGCCGTATATTCTTTCGTTGTTGATTGGTCGTTCTTAGAAGAAGCCTCAGTGGTATTTTCCCGAGCTATTGTGGCGTTGGAAAACCATTCGTTGTTTGAATCTGAAGTAGACGAATTCGCCTCTAAGGAGTCATTTTTCACAAAGGATGGCATCATTTTAAGCGATGGTGTCACTAAATCGTGTCCGTGCTGTTTTGTTGAGTTTGTGATCAATATTGATGAGTCGTCACTGGGAATTTTATTAACTGTTTTTGCGGACGACGAAAATGATGCTTGTGAAGAAATCGATGGGTCTTGTTTATTCGAGCTAGGTGGTAGGACCTGGTCTGAAACAAAATCACTATGGTTTACATGCTTGGAAGGCTTTTCTTGATAGAAGGCAGCGTGAATTAGTTCGTCCGAAATGAGATTATTATGGGTGACCTGCTTGGAGGGGTTTTCTTTTAGAACCGGTTTGTTGTTCAAGTCGACGTTAGCCATTTGGTGTGAAGTTGCCAGACCCTCGCTGACAGCTTGTCTCGGAGATGAAAGTGCTGTATCTGTAAATTGAACAGTTATCAGTCCAACAATCTGGCTGAGCCATTGTAAGACGAATGAATTTTTACTTGTCGAACAAACATTTATTGGTGGCTGCTTGAAGACTGCGAGGCAGGCATACAGCAGTACAACCAGATGGACAGAACAGAATTATATACAGACAGAAAAACAGGTTGACAGACAGCAATACGATTTTCTCGTGGTTTCAGAAGAAACTCATCTCTGCTGCATCAAGGAAAGCGTGAAACTCCAGCATAACTTGCACGATGATTGCAAACTACGAAGCAAAAGAACATTGCAGGAAAATGGTCCTGAACTTACCTTGTGACCACGAATCTTTGATAATCGCTTTAGCGATGTCATTCTCACTCTCGAGGAGGGGTTGGATTGTTTTTAAGTCTTCCCTTGTTGGTCCATTGTCTGCGAATTGCTTTGAATCCAAATAAGGTGGTGTTTCTTGGCTCTCGTTGGGTTCAAAATAATCCATCTTATTCGCGTTAGAGGGCGAGTTGTGTGTTTCATATTGACTTTGTAGAAATGACAGACTTGTGGAGGTGAGTTGATCTCGGTTTGTAGCATCGTCAAACATTTCGTTTGTGGCAATAGGCACTGCAGGTGAGGACATAAGCTGATTCTGCTGCCCAGTGAAGCTTCCTTCAGGAGACTGATTTATTTGGTTGTCGTAGAATGGAAGCGAGGACTGTTGCGACTGTTGCGCCACCGGCTCTTGTGATAACGAACCAGTCCATTGTGACTGAGGAATTTCGTTTGCGGCGAGAAAGGGAAATTGATATCGTTTGGTCTTTCCTAGAGGGAAAAATATGCTTTTATAAATTAAAATTTTCACACGAGGCAAGAAACAATAATCCTTGCCTTTTCTTTATCAAGGGTGTACGATTTCTTAGCCTAGACGGTGGGGGTTGCGGGTGGTGGTTGTCTCAAGTGGTTGGCTAAGGAACTATTCTCGTAGGTATTAAATTTGAAATTTCCAACTCCAAAGCCGAGATTATCTAATGCTCTTGTAGCCAAAATCCATGGTCACACATCGCAATAATAACTGGGGCCTAAATTACTGCATCTGCAACTAAAAATTGAGTAAGAAATGAGTAGATAAGCAGCAACCTTCTTCGTACTCTTTTTGCTTCTCCTTCATGGCGTTTGATGGTAGAATCACAGGCGCAGGAGCTATGAGCGGAGCAGGCGCAATGGCCTCCACCGGGGGAACGGCTCCTGCGTCAGGAACCAACCCAGAGGGTAAAACAACGGGAGCGGGAATATCGCTGGTGTATTCCGGTAGCAAGGATGTATAGGAGTATAGCTGTCGTCTGTTTAGACCTTGTAAAGAAAAGTGCAAGATTGTTGCATGCAGGGATCGATGTGGGGAAGACATGAACTAAGAACTAGTCTTGCAAAAGGCGTTATTTTTCTTTCCGCTAAAAGAGAGAGAAATCTGGTGATGATCATTCCACTCTCCTGTAATAAGTTCTATCGCTTCAGTCACGCTCATGAAACCCTGAGCTCGATCCAAACGCCCCAAAAAGTTTCCTGAAAATGCTATAGTTTCCAGAAATTGAAACTCGATGTTGATTGGCCATGGTAAGGCCTATGCGGTATAGCAGTCATTGGTCGCAACTAACGGTACAAGTGTGATTCAAACCTTGTTCAAAGCAAGGAAAAAAGCAGTTGTAAAATGATGTAAAGCTTACCTTCACGTTTATGATTTCCTGATCGACAGAAAACGCCGGTAGTCAAGAACAAAGTGAACAAGGTAATCCGCCAAAGGAATCCCTCCATCGGTGCAAGAAACTCACTTGATAGTGTTTACTATATGGGGAGCAACCGTATGTTTCATGGAAAGTCTCAGTACTTAGACCTTCTAAAAAGTACACATAAGACATAAGGTAGTTTTCAGTGTGCACCAGAAGGCGCGTCGCTCTAACTTAATGGTTTCCAAGTATTTCGCATTCAGGATGCGATTTATGGTGACTGACTGAGATAGAAAATGAATTCAATTTTCCAGAATGGATACTGACTGAGTAAAGTTCTATTTCCATTTTTGGAGTACACATGTAGTATGTATGACGAGAATTACTAGATAATATCACGCCTTTAGAAACTGAATGCTCGAGTATAGTATGCCTCCAAGTTTGACATCTGTTTTTGTTCTGTCTTTAAAAGAATGTGGTGCTTTATCAATCCCCAGGCTCTCTAGTGTAGAGGTGGCTTTCTTTCAGGTAAGTAGGGGTTGAACGGTACCTCCATCGACGCGCGTGAAGTCAAGATCATCATTTGCGGCTAGATCAATTTACTGCAGCGCCGCTTGAATTTACATTTGACCTCATATAGTGGGCCAAGAATTATAGGCTACTAAGCCCACCTGTGACTCGTTTATAATTTACCCGGTCGGAGAAAAAACCACCGTCTGCGAAAAATAACTGAAGCTAGTTCAGATTAAACGATTTTCACGGAAATCATTTCAGCCTGATGATGGTTTGTTAAATCTCAGACATGGATTTACCGGACACCTTTAAAAAATATATATCTAAGCCTCAGTTGAATTCCAAAAACTGACAAACTTGAATCAAAAATATTGCAAAAAAACATCATTTGTGTCGAGTCTCGAGGGATGCTATTCTGACCAAATTGTTCGACAGTTTTAGGCCAAGCGGTTCAAAATCCATCTAACAACAGGTAGTTTGATTCACTGGTAACCCAAACAAATTCGACAGTCAAAACAACATGAAAAGTTGCTACAAATTAAAGATAACTCTTAAAAAAAAATTCAGATCACTTACAATAAATTCGAGTTTCCACCATATTTTAGCTTAAATTCCAACGCGTTGTGTGTTGGTAAGGCTTTACGCAGTCGCCATTTTGACCTCTTCAAGGATGTGTTCATTACATCACCATGCATTTCACTTATTCATTTAGTCGCGCTCGGCCGAGTTCCCATCTTTGTTTTCATTGGATCGATTAAAAGCAGAACCTGCTGGTAGACTCATTTACCGTCAGAGCGCGGCAGATATATTAAGTTGAGGAAATTGTTACTTTATAAGAATTAAAGGGTACATGAGGCTGGTTATCATGTTGATAAATCAACCACAATCTTTTTCAGAAGCATGGTAAAATTATTTCAAAAGCAACAGTCTGATCAGCAAACTATTGATAAAGAGGGAAGATTATTTCAACAAATTAAGATTATGATGCAGTTAGAAATCAAGAAAAGGCCAGAATAAAAATGTTATTATCGTTATGAGTTGTTGCACTTAATACATAATCCTAAGGACCAAAGTCTCGGTGTGCGAAGATTATGGCATGCAGACGTTTCCTGCCAGTCAAAATCCAAGTTAAAAACAGCTCAGTCGCGTTGAGCTTTAGCAACTGTGAAATATCTCAGAGGAATTTTTCTTTCTTCAGCATCAGCATGTGCACTGTTACCATCTGTAAGCATCGTGATCATCACCGCATTATTCAAATCATTATCAGCATCATCATTCTAATTCTCAGTGGTGATAGTCAGTCTCATATCAGTGCCTTATAAAGTCTTTTTGTGACCCTGTACAGGTTAAGAGTTAAACCATACTTTGATGAGGTGTTGAAAGGCCGGGAGGATCTCCAAAGACTGGAATCGATGTTGTTTCCAGTCCTAAACGATCTTGTAGCATTGACAGCCCTTGCATTCTCACGTGTGAACTAATCCAAATCGTGTCACACAAAAATTATTATTATTATTTTTCAAAGAGTATTTCGAACATTGTGAATAATTTGGCCATTTTGAAACGATAATCTTTTTACTGTGATCAATCAAACTCAACAACTGCTAGCTGTGCTGGTTCGCGAAATGCCCACTTGAAACTTGTACTACGTCAAAAATGGATCCAAAGTTGGAAGAAGTATTTAAGAAGTGGGAGGCCCATAGTTCTGGCCCTTCTCGAGTGGCAAATAATGAAGAATCACAACGTCAGAGAGAAGAAAGGCAGAGAGAATTCCGTGATAATTTGGAAGCACCGTTCCGAAAACCCTCAAGGCACAGGCCAAGGAAGCGAAAATCGAAGGTACAGTAAGTGGAGTTCATTGTTGTTGTTGTTGGTGTTGCAAGGGTTCTTAAAGAGTACGAAGTCGGGCCCTAAGACCAAGTATTAAGACCTATCCGCTGCTGAAATCTTAGAGATCAGCTATGATTCATTTAGGAAAATTTTACCTCCAAAGGAATCGATGATTTCTTCGGTAGATGGTCTAATTTGTTGTTTAAAACACAAATGAAATTGACCTAACCAAAATAAAAATGACAAAATTTAAATTAGTTAAAGTAACATTTTTGATAAGCTTAAGAAGTGCTGACAGTAGCAGTAAACAATAACTAAACTCTGTTGAAAAAATGAAAAATCCTCAGAATAAAGACGATAGGAATATTGTTCAACTGAACGATATAAAAAAATCTCATCCACATTAAATGCAACAATATTTTGGCGAGAATAGTCTTCTGTCAATACTTAAAATGTGGTGACACCTATGGGGAAAGGAAATATTAGTCTGGCTCAGTTAATGTAATACCAGGAAGAAAGTTGTTTAAATATACCATTTAGGCAGCTCACCAAGGAAGGCTAGCTTTTCCTGTGTGATCAGTGTCTGGGAGATGTTGGCTTGTTGGACAAATTGAGTTGGGAGAAGTGTGGATAACAAGATTTGTGTTTTTAGAAGGGTCATTTTCCACCCCTTGAGGTAAAAGACACAAATCTAGATGCCTTTTAAATGGAGTCTTATGTTCTTTTGATTCTTTCACAGCATTCTATAAACTGGTACTTGCACAATTTAAGTCACTGTCAGGTTACTCAGTACTTCTTGTTTTGATTTAATACACGATTAGCGAGAGGATTTCAGTTTCAAGCCACTAACAGAGATGAAGTTCAGTGTGCCTCCTGCAGTGATTCCTTCTATTTACAAAAGAAAGCGGCCATTTATGGGAGAAGCTTGTAACAGATGTTGCCAAGAGAGTAAGGTATTCCATTCTGCTTGATTGTATGCTTTAAAACATTTTGTCTATCAACCAGTGTGAGGAAGGCAAATAGAACACAGGCAAGTCTACTAAATTATGCTCTATTTTGTAGACCCAAATCTATCAAGTTAAGGCTATTTCTTTTCAAATCTATATCTCTGTCATTTTCAAAACTTTCTGTGGAGTAAAATTTGTAGCAATGAGGTGTGAGACTGTCTTGCTTTTGCTCTACAGTATCTAGATTTTGGCAAAAGTTTTTAATGTTTGGTACTGTATGAGATTTAAGCATGCCAAGTGCTAAAAATGAAAATCCAGGCAGACATAGCTCTAGTACACTGATATTAAGCCACATGAGGGCTGATGAACATATGCACAATCCAAAGTTTTTAAGAAACTGATTCTGGAATCCAGATCCAAAATCACACCTGACCTGTAATCCTAATTCCATGTTTTAAAATTGCAAATCTGCTTAATACTTACAAAGTCTGTAATCCATGAGTTTTCTAAAGGCTAAATCAATCCACAAACACATTTACCCTTTCCCCTCAATATGGACGTTTTGTAATTAATAGTTTTGTAGTTAATAGTATATAATTCTTCTTCTTGGCAGACACTCTATGAGGAAGGCAAACCTTCATGGGGTATGCACAATATTCTTAGCATGGAGCTTTTTAGAAAGTAAGTATAACTTTTAAATCCTGAGAATGCAAATCACAAAAACCTCAGATAATTGATCAGCAGCCTATAGTCAAGATACTGTTTGTTTATCTCTCCATATTGTTTTACAGAGATGTAGCTCTTGCTGTTTTAATTTTATAACCTTTTTAAACAAAAGTATAATGTTGATAACTATATTTAACGGTTCTGTTATTTCAATATTTCAGACAGAATTTCTTGAAAAGAAGTTTCTGCCATATAGCTTATGTGTGGAATTGTGACATCAGTCATCAATATCCTGATGTGAAGCAGGATGTTTTACAGTCAGCCAGGTTAGATTATGAAAGCTGTCAACTTCTTGATTATTTATTTCATAACCATGTTGCATGAAAATTTGTATTTTTTTTAAATTTAATTTACAAATTTGGTATATTGCTCTTGTTATGCCAAAATAAGTCCCTGCTTGGAAAAAAAAATTGTGCAAAAAATTAAAATGCAAAAAATTTTTACCTCCCGTCAAATTAATTACTGTGGGTGCCAATAAAGTGCCAGTTTACAGCATATTTTTCATATTCATATATATTGCAGTTCCCCTTAGAAGGCTAGAAAAGTCAAAAATATCATTTTGCTTTCCTATTTTATGTTTTGCTGTTTGAACAGTTGATCTTGACAAATACTCTACTAAGCGAAATTCTATTTCTCGAACAGCCTGAAATTTTGTTTCTGTAAACCCCAAAAAAGTCACTTATCCGGAAATGAAAATTCCACAAGGGTTTCTCACTACTGTACATCTTTTCAGCCAAAATTTCAAGAGGATATAGAAGTTTATTACACAATCATACTGGTTCAAGTTTGAATATTTTATTCTTATTTATTAGAGTAAAGACCCGCATTCTTTCTCCTGCTATGCAAGAGCGTCCATCATCAGGTGCGTAAATTGGTCAAATTTTGTGATTGATAAACATGTATCAGGCTCTTTTAGAATAGATGAAAAATTGCATGTGCATGAAGTTTTATGGACCAAGTCAGGTTGAATAACGTTGTCAACCCAAGACACATCATTTTAATGTTTATAGAAGGTTTTGAATGTATGCTTGGGCAAGTTTGCAAAGCTTCAAAAAAAGAATCAACAGTCAAACAGTTACAGCACGTTTTTTTGAGTTGTTGCAAAGAAATGCAGTGGGTAACTCTTAAGGAACTTTCCAGCCCTTAAAACTTAAAATTGTGTCTAGTTTTCTTTAAAACTATTACTAGCAGTAACTCATTACATACCTATATTTTTCTGATTCAAAAAATAATAAATTGTAACCCACAATATCTTAGTGACCAAAATTGAGTGACAGCTGCTAGATGTAACATTGTTCCCCTTATTAACAACAGGTCAGGATATCAAAACTTCAGAAAAAGAGAGACACAAGAGAATCAGTAGTGTTGAAGAAAATGCAGTTAACATCCTGAATGGGATGGCTGCAGTTGTCTACCAGAAGTTTGTGAGGTAATGAAATAGCATTTTGAGGTTGCTGTCACCAAAATCTGGTCAAAATTTTGAAAGTTTCATTTTGGTGCTCTTTAGTTTGAGATAGAAGTAAAGTTTAATTTTCCAAATAAAAAAAAAGTATAAAATCTTAAAAAGAACTTGAGATATAGCTAAAAGAACGTTTAAGGGGAACCTGTGTGGAAGTGTGAAAGGTGTCATAATTTGAAAGCCTCCAGCAGAGTGTTGACATTTGCTGTGGGCTTTCTTTCATGATCTTTATTTGCATATTTTGTTTACAGTGCATCTTGCACTGCACAGCAAAGGAGAATTCCTAGCACATTGTGCAAAATGTTGAGAAATAAGAGTCTTCATCAAGCGGTCAAAAATCCAAAAAAATTGGAAGTTAAGTTTTTTACCGTAGCTTGTTTTGCCCACTTTTCCTTCTGCTTTTCTCAATGTCTTTTGGATTTTGTTTAATGTCTGTTCTTGGATTTGCAAAATGACCTTTCCTGCAAATTTCAAAGGGGTTTTTATGTCACCAGACTTGCCAAGGGGTTCAATATTGCATTTCATTGCTCAATGGCATGACCACATTGACATGCACTTAAATGAGGTGCAAAAACTGTGAACTTCTTTAGAGGCCAAAAACTTGGGTTTTTTTGTACAAGTTACCAATAGTCTACTTATAATTATAATAATTTATACTTTTATAAGCTTTACAGTGTTATATACTAGTTTCTCTAGTTTCTTTAAAAGTAGCATGCATAGGATGATTTTTCTAGAAGGGACCCTATCTTGTTGACAGTAACCTTAAGTAATGCTGTTTTTACATGTATCTTTAAAAAGTACTTTTAGGCTTTGACTCACATGTGCATGTGGGAGAAATAGCTGTCAATATGTTGAACTCTGGGTTGTAATTTGTTGAATCAAAACTCATTCATCCATGTGCTGGTTGCAAGTGGGAGACCAGCTCATCCCTCCTTTAGTTTCTATAAAACTGAAAGATTACAGTCAGATAGTGTGTAAACTTGATTTTGTTCCAGATTCACCACTTGGTTTCTTTTCAAACTGTTGAGAAGAATGTTATTTAGTATACAGATTCACAAAAGGCAAATTGACATCTTGAAAGAAGCTTCTCAGGTAAGCAACAGAAAAATCAAAGTTATTATATACATCTGTACACTCATCTGCTTTGTAATTCAAGGTTCAGTGTATTGCAAACTGTGGCTTTATGACAGAAGACTGAACTAATGGGAGAACTTACATTGTATTTGTTAGGCTAAAATCTTGTGTGAAAAGGTACATAGTATTTTAAAACTTTTTTCTTCATTTGTATTATCAGGATGACAAACCTCTTGTGTTCCTACCACTTCATAAAAGCCACATGGATTATATCCTGCTGACTTTTGTGCTTGTTACATGTGATATTAAGGTAGGCATACTTCATACTTTGAATTGTCTGTTTGCCATTTAGATTTAGAATTTATGTATGTATGTCACATTGTAATAAAATCATATTTATTGATGAAGCATGATAGTTTGGTTAGCAATTCAGTGGTAATTCTTTCAAAATTCTCATGATTACCTTCATGGAAGGAATCTTGGTGTACTGGTAGGTGTTTGAATGAAAAGAATTTCTCTTTGGCATTTTATACTTTTTGTGTGTGTATACTCTGAAGACTGCAAGAAAGTTAGATCAATGTCATTTTACTGTGACATTATACTCAGGTAAATTGTTTGAACCTAGGATTGACAGTTGTCTGACCTCCCTAGTGAGGGAAATCCTCAAAAGTTCTGATGTCAGTTTTGTGACAGTAACTGGTGTTTCAACAAGCTGAGCAGAAGTCTCTTAGACATCACAGCATATATGATTACCTAGTCAGTGTTTCATAAACAGACTTAACTGACAATCAATTATCTCCTTGCTGAACTCCAAGGATGACTTCTGTTCAGGTTGGTGAAACCTCAAACCTTGTCACCAACAACAGACCTTTCCAGGACAATTTCATTGCATGTTCACTAATATAACCACACCCCTTGCTTGTTGGGGTTTAATGATGCCTTACTTGTTACTCTGAGGTAGGCTCTCTAGATAATATTAGAAAATTCTTATTATGGAAGTTATTTTTATTTAGTGTTCTCTTTCTCATATTTTCAGGTTCCTCATGTGGCAGCAGGAGGTATACCAAAGATTTTCTGTATTCATTTTTTCCAACATAGAGTGTTGTTACCTGATATATTCACAATAGTGGTAATAATTATATGAGCATCTTTTATTTGCAGATAACTTGAGCATACCATTTTTTGGGTGGATTTTAAGACACTTGGGTGGATTCTTTATCAAGCGTAAACTAGATCATTCCTCTGGGAAAGATGAGTTGTACAAGTGTATCCTTCAAGAGGTGAGAATTTTGCTCGCAGATTTTTTTATTACAGTAGTTGAAAATCAATGAGCTCAGCTCAAATGTGTACTCCTTTTATGTTTGTAGTATGTGGAACAGCTCCTTCAGAATGGACAATACCTTGTATTTTATATAGGTATGTTAATTTAGGCTTTCATCTCAAGTTTACAGATGTTAATACCATTAGTCTTAATAAATATAGGTAAAAGTAAAGCCTTTATACAGGCCCAAGTGGCCCATGGGGCCGGCGCTTAAGTCCGGTTTCCTTTAGCATAAAGCAGCTAGGAGTATTGCTACTACCCCCTGGATGGGATGCTAGTCCATTGCAGGGTAATACCCCCAGCATATTTGCTGGTACTCATTTGTACACCTGGGTGAAGAGAAGCACTGTGAGAGTAAAGTGTCTTGCCTAAGAACACAACACAATGACCCTGGCCAGGGCTCAAACCTGGACCACTCGATTCAAAGTCAAGTGCACTAACCATGAGGCCACCGCGCCTCTACTCTTAATAAATATGCAATGTATTAATCATTAGTGGTTGTTGAACTGTTAAACCCTTAAAAGTGACTAGCATCTAATTTCTCCTTACAATATCATCACTGAATCACACAAACATCATTAGAATAGAGGAAATGATCACCAACTAAAGAAACTCTTGATTGTTAGAAAAATTCTCCTTGTAAGCACCTCAGTAAATGTACAGAGAACAGTATGAAGAATATGAATACTGATGTGAGGATGTAAAGGGTTAAGTTATGACATTCACTTTTAACTCAGCAGAGGTGCACCAATACATGTGAGCCACACGACTGTATCCTTTGTAAACAGAATACTTATAAGATCTTCAACAATTGCTCATAAATGCTCAAAGGAAGATTTGTCAGTTATGCCATTTTTGATTGTCTTCTTTTTTACTCCACCATTTTCCCATCCCCATGTCATTCTTAATGTTATAAAGCAATGGGCACATTGTTAAATAAACAATTTGTTGAAGATCTTTTTCTTCTTTGGTTATATGCATCTCTCTTTTTTATTACATGTGCCTATAGAGGGTAGTAGATCAAGAAGTGGAAAAGCCATGGTTCCAAAGTCTGGTCTTCTCTCTCTGGTCGTTAATTCAGTCACAGAAGGTATGGCAATTTGATTTACCTTGACTAGTTGAAATCCACGTTATAATTTACTACTCTGAATCAAACTGCAACATAAGCATTTTTAATACTTAAGATGCTGTAAACTGTCAAGAATGAATTAGTTCCATTTATATCATTGTAACAAGCTATGCACTATATCAGAAGTATACATGTATGACCAAGGTTATAAGCATCTGGCTTTATTTTTGAACTTGTATAAGCTCTCTTGATATTTTTCTCTATCAGGTGTAGTGCCAGATGTGAACATTGTTCCAGTGAACATCTCTTATGACAAGGTGGCACAATTTCACATATATACTATTTTCAAATCATTGAGAATGATTACTTCACATATAATGTAAAGTATCTTTCAGTGGTCTGGTAATCCTCTGGTTAGTCTTTATTTTTTTTGATCCAGAGTGTTGCCTTAACCTTTTGGCTCCTAAAAGTGACTAGCATTTAATATCTCCTCACAATATCACCCCCGAATCAAACATTAAGGTCATGAGAATAAAGGACATGATCAGCAACTAAAGAAGTTCTTGACTATTAAACAAATTCTCCTTAACAGTGCCTTAGGAAATGCATAAGGAACAGTATGGAGAATTTGCATACTGATGTTAGGGTGTAAAGGATTAATAGTTGACTGCACTTTCTCTTATTTTCAATCTAGGTTGTGGATTCAGGTTATACAAGGGAACTTCTAGTGAGTATGTTTTGAATGTCAAATAATTAACCTGTTTCTTTTCTTCCCCCCCCCCCCCCCCCCCCCCCCCCCCCCATATCCCTCCTCTTCCTCAATCCTATGACCATAAGCCATTTCGTTATATATTAAAATTCAAACTTGGCTCCAAGGCTTCCCCCTAGCCTCGAAGCCATGTTAGAATTCTAATATATTGAAAATGGCCTATTTGCCCTCAATCTTTGAAGGATATGCCCCGTCTCTCTTGAATAAATGTATAATGTTTTTTGAGTTACGTTAGTCCTTTCTAATGCGATCTCAATTAAGGTACCATTTGGGGAAAGGAGGAGAAAACTTTTTCTTCTATCTTCCAGAGATTAGGGGCACGATTCTCCCAGGGAATTGTCTGGAAACTGTATTTGTACCCAAAAATGTTTCACTCCGTGGGTTAACTTTTTGCGTTGATGTTTTGTTGAGGTTGTGATCTTTAGCACGTAAATACAGCATAAGGCTTGCTTTGTATTGTTCTTAATTACTAGAAAATGAAGAACTATCTTTAACAGAATGTGTTCATGTGTCTTCAGGGTGAAGTTAAGAGACCAGAGTCATTCTGGAGCACAATGAAAAGCATCTGGCGCGTCATCAGAACAAGATATGGCAACGTCAGGCTCGACTTTGGCCAGCCATTTTCTCTGCAGGTTTGTTACCTTTGTTTAAAATTTTTAGTTTTTTTACGCATTCATGAACTTGAATGAGCATACATCCTTACTCCTAAATACTGAAATTTTTGAGATTCGAAAGTCTGACCCAAAATTTGAAAGGTAAACAAACCGAGTGGAAAAAATAGAAAGGAAAGAGAAAACAAATTATTACTTGTAATGTCAACTTTATTTGCTCAGGAAACAAGGGTAAGGCTGTTTCAGTGACCTCTTATGTATCTCTTCATCGGTTCCCATGAGCAGTTTTGATTAATCTCTCTGGGTTAGTTTTTTTTTATGTGGAAAATATCGTCAGTTGTTAAGCACGCTTGTAGTGGGTCTGATTGTTCCTAATGCCCCCATCAATAGGAATTTTCCCGAGCCATGGACCAATCTCAGCCAATGCAGGAATTTGCAGCCAAATCGTTACTCAGAGCATCCGATATCTCGTCGCCAAAGTCTTCTCTTGTGCGGAACTACTCTGAGGTCTCGTTAAGTGAGATCGGTGATGATAAGTGTTTCACCCTCACTAAGGCTCTTGGATATCACTCCATTCATGGTAGGTTATGAACTTTGATCCTGGTTTTCACTGTATAGACTGAGTGTAGTACATTTATATCTTTGGGTATTTATGACACAAAATGTGGAGTCGAAATGTCTCGACAACCTTTCACTATATGAAATATCGGCTACATTTTTCCTCTGACCCACTAGGAAAGAATCATGGATCATTTAAAGGAGTGTCTGAGAAGTAGCCTGTGAATGCTTTTCCTCCCTGATACCATATAAGGACATTTGTGAGGAATGGAGGAGGGGTGGAGGGGTAGGGGAGGGGTGGAGGGGTAGGGGAGGGGTGGAGGGGTAGGGGAGGGCCCAGTCAGGTTCACTGTCCAAACCTTTACACCGAGTGACTAAGAATTTATTCGCCTTTGACCTCCTTTATTTTCTCTTTACTTACAACGATGCTGAATAAACTATGTTTCAAGACCAGCTGGAATTCACTAGAACAGGGTATCTCAATAAACTATGTTTCAAGACCAGCTGAAGTTCACTAGAACAGGGTATCTCAACTAAGATGTAACTGTTGTTGATACAGCTCCGTGGAAAAGTATCTGAGGCTCAGTATGGTGGGGCTCAATATCTTGCCAGGACCTTCATACTCAAAAACCGTGTCTACTTTCTTGTAGATTCCGCGAATTGTAGTGCAGTTATGAGTACCAACATGGTCGCCTTTCTTCTCATGAACAATCATAGGAAGGTAAGTTGTTGCAAACTGTAAATTATTGAATCCTCTGTACATTGGAACGTTTACTGAACCATTCCGTTCGTTGATTTAATTGTCCTACCTCTTTAGGGTGCTACATTTCAAGAACTGTGTGCGTCCTTTGACAGGCTGTACAGGGAAATAACCTCACGAGGAAGGTAAACAACTTTTCATTTCGGTCACTTTGAAAAGAACGAGAGAGTTTGCAAATATCAAAGACAAATTTGTTTCATTGTAATTACATGGGGTGCTTTGAAGTAAGACGTATTTCTGACCTAGAAGACACATTGGAAAGATTTGTGAACATTGTGTAGTGAAAGTAGACTGATATCAATGCTTTTTCCTCTTCCCCTCTTCTACTTGTCCTTCTTTCTCTTTGTTGATTGGATAAGGTGAAGAGCCATAGAGTGGTTAAGTTTGCAGGTTGCGTTCAGTTGTGTCATAAGTACCATAAAATACCGGTATTTATCATCTTCTATTCTTAAGAGATGTTGGCTTTTCGGGAAAGACTGCAGCCGTTGTCCGTCATGCATTGCGACTTTTGGAAGATGACGTCACAGTAACGGAATCGCGGACAGGTCCTCAGAAGGATACAGTGCGGGTTCAAGTTCAACCCAAGGGTGGTTTACCTCACATTCTGAATCTGGCATTTTACAGCAATCAGGTAACTAACTGGACATAAATGCATTTAGTCACAAGAAGCCTGGCCCTCTTTGTTTGACCTTTCAAACTTTTTCCCGAGCATCTCTTAACCTTAAGAGCAAGTTTCCACTGAATGTCGAAAGTTGTTGAAAGTAGTCAAGAATTGCTTTGGTTTAACCTTACTTTGCGCTGTGATTGGTCTACTAAAATTGCGCCATCCTCTCAACCAATCAGAGGCAAAACTAAAGACAAGCGCGACTTGGTGATTCCCGTTGGTTTTGGCTTTTCAACACTCACTTGGTTACTTTTCTTTTCGTTTCAGGTTGTTTCATTATTTTCCCTAGACGCTGTCCTTGGTAAGCCACGGTTCTTTCGTAGCTCGAAAACTGGAGTTTTCTCATTCGTACATTGTAATTATACAGATGTTGAAAATGTATTCCTTTAATATTTAGCTTGTGCAATTTTCGCCGCTGCAGAGGATAGTGAATCTTTTGATACAGACGACATCGAAGGCCAGAAAATAATTACTCAGTCGTCGGTATGTGAATTTCGATCTCCATTGCTATGTATCATCTAGTCTCTCATTTAAATCTTTGTAAATAAGCTCTCCTTCAACGTGACACGATCTTGAACGTATTCGATTGGCTAGGCGAGGTATTTGCAGTCAAAATGACAGCACTCATTTTCTCTGCTGTCACTTCTCGGTTGAAGGGATTCACTTTTACTCTCTCATGTCGCAAAGCCTTTTAGACACTAACAAACTTTCCAACTCTTGACATCAGTGTCTATTGAATTGAGATAAGCAAGCTCTCCTTTTAAAAAAAAGAAGGGATGAACTTATTATCGCTTTTGTCGGGTGGAGTTTGTGAAGAAACTTTGGACCCCCAGGTCTGGAAAAGTGTGTTGGTGATTAATCTGTCTCGTTAAGTTGCAGTGTTATCCGTCCTCCGCATTTTTAGACTATTCTGTTTACTTTTAACGCTGTTAAGTTTACGTCAATTTCGTGTCTAGATAGTCGAGAAGGCGAAAAATTTGTGCGATGTTCTTCAGAGAGAGTTCAATTTAGTTCCGGTAAGTTTAACTATGTATTTAAGGAGAACTGATTACTGAGAGGACGTGAAGTATTTTTTTCCTTATATATAATTAGTGCATTGTACGCACTTCTCTCCTCCTTCCCCCTACCATTCCATATCATCCCCTCACCCCTCACCCCTCACCCCTCACCCCTGGCCCCCTCCTTTTCCTTCTTCTCGTACTTCTCCAACATTCTCCTTGAAGGCCCTCTCACAATAACCTCACCTCAACTACCAATGTTCCATCACTGTCAACTTCAAAACTAGAATCACAACTCATGACCCACAGTAAGGCAGTATCTAAAATGTGTGAATTTACTTAATAATAATAATGATAATAATAATAATAATAATAATAATAATAATAACTCATCAGTCTGTGCATAGTAACAACAAAATCGTGATCGGAAGTACCTGAAGGTGTGTGTATTTTCAGCCATGTGAGAACCTAGAGTCTGCTCTGACAGAGGGACTGGACAAATTCACGTCTAGTGAGACCCTACAGATCATAGCAGAGGTCAGTATTTACAAACCAGGTTGGGTAACCGTGTTGAGCAATCTAAGCAGTAATTATACCGAGTCATTCTCTCTTCAATTTCTCAACAGAGCGACCCCGTTAGTTCTCGAGGCAGTCAATGGGGATGGGATGACGACGATGAGTACACAGGAGAATTTGACGTCACGGAGATCGAGTACAAGGTAAGTTTTATTCTTTTTTCTTTCAGCGATATCGATTCAAACAGTGAAAGAAACATGGCATGTTTTTAATCTGAGTCCCGCCCGAGGAATTTAATCCCAGAGCTTCCTTAAGTGCGCTATTACTGACCAACAGGGAACTTAGTGGTGAGCATCGCTCTAATGAAATACAAGGTCTGTATGTAACAAGTGCCCCGCATACCAGGAGGGTCAGAAATGTGTTTGTCAGCCTAGAGTCTAGGTTATTTATATAAACCCCTCCACCACAAAAGTTACAGAACGGTCCCCCTTTTTTCGCTTGTTTCTAAATTCATGTAACAGGATAATTTTTCTCACAGTACCGGAAAGAGTTCGCGTGGTGAAAGGCGCTTGTTGGCTTTATTAATCCTTATATCGTTAGAATGACCAAACATATTGTACACGTTATACAATCTGAGAGAAATGAAAACGGATTTGCCTCTAAAGTTGTTGAGAACGTGTTTAGTTCATTAAAAAGTTCCCACCTGTTCCTTACACTTTTCAGGCAATCCCATACTGGGGTTTTTATCTGCCAGTAAACAACTAAATTTCTGTAGTGAAGCTTATCTGTTTATAACACTTTTTGTCAATTCCTTCACTTCAGTTAACCAATGCAGAAGAGCTGCTAAACAAGCTTCAGTTTCTAAAGTCAGTGGTTGCTCCCCTGATAGAATCTTACTGGGTAGCAGCTTGTGGTTTACTTTGGCTCAGAAACCAGAGGTTCTCAGGTAATAATTTTACAGAATTTTTTCTTGCAACTCAGTACCTCATGGATCAAAGAGTTGTATCAAAATACAGCCAATTCTTGCTTGTGTCAGCGACTTGAACATATGTACGTAGTTTACTGTATTTGCCTGTATGGTGTTGTTTAACCATTTTAGCTGTTTGGAGATTGCAGAATTTTTATGTGGTCTGGTTTGGCTTTATGTGTTGTTTTTATCTTTATTTTAAATTATTTGCCCTCAAGATACAGAGTTTCTGACTGCTCTTCATTCCTGTGCGAAAGAACGGGTCCATAAGGGAGTAGCAATGTTTCGTAAGTGTTCAACATTCTTGCATTTAGTTTGTTAAATGAGTGAGATTCTTTAATTGCGATGGAGGTCTTGATTGGTGGTTTCTGATAGTATTTTTTTTTGTTTGAAAGATCACAACTGACAACGCTTTTCTAAAAGTTCTTGCATCACTCACTTTTACTCCCATCTATCCTGTAATAGATGTTACATACAACTTCACGCCAAAAATAGTAAAGATGACATTAACCCTTTAACCCCTGTGAGTGACTAACATCTAACTTCTCACCTTGGTATCACTTTTGAATCAAACATGAGGCTCATGAGAAACGTAAACGTGAAAAGCAGTCTTGATTTTTATCTTAATTCTCCTTGTCAGTGCCATAGGAAATGTGTAAAGAACGGTATGGAGAATATGTATGCTGATGATTAAAATCAACCAGTAAAGAATTGATCTTAACGAGTTAGCTGCGCGAGAATGAAATTCAGTAATGGTCTTTCGTTGGGTTATATGGGAAGTCCTATTCTAAAAAGTGTAATTGTGAATTTTTACTCACTCGATCGCAACTAGCTCTGTAATCATCGCTCAATACTAAATAGTTATCTTGCTTTTTGTTTTTTTCCAGCCGAGAGTTGTTCACTGGAACCTTTCCGCAATGCCGTGCGCATCTTTAAGGAGTGGAAAGTGATTCAATTCAACGCCGAGAGTGGGATAACGCTCTGCGACGCTTACAACAATGGAGATGCCCTTTTTGATGTGATTGAGAGCATAAATCAGTTTAAACTTTAACTGCAACAGTAACTTCAAAATTCTTGTAAAAGAACTTGAATAAATTTCTTATGCCAGCTTCAACCTAATTCTGTCATAATTCTGAATCTTTCTAATCCACAACTTCAACACTGGGAAAAACATCAAGTCAAACTCCTGCGGAGTTGAGCCATGATGGTTGAACCTGTTCTTAACGACGTGAAAAATTACCTCCACTGTGAAGAAAACCTCAAAATATATGGTTTGTAAGATAGGAAAACGAAAATTGGGAATAATAATTTAAAAGGGGAAGGAGGATGATAATGGGTCGAGAGGACTGACATAGATTGTACATCAGGGTGTAAAGGTCGACGAGTTCTGCGAGAAAGAACCAGCTGGAATCATTCAATGAGGTCACAATTTGCATATAGATCATAATGATAAAAGGAGGTGCGGCTGCTGGTTTAGAGCCTGAGGGAACAGACGTTATAACTGTTTCGAGTGGAGTTTCACGTGGCAAAACGTCAATTTTAAAATTCCAACGGAAATTCGATGTAATAAATGCCATGTGATACTGATACTTTCATTCAAGCCTACAATATCCACAATACTTAAACCGTTATGCTAAGCGCCTTTCAACGGCCTTAAACAAGTTGCACGGCATGCACGTTTTATGCTTGAAGTAAGAATATTTAACAGTGTAAAAACACCCTCACCCTGCCCGCAGAGTCTTCTTTCACCTCCTCCAAAGAGGGGGTGAAAGAAGACTCTTCTCGCAGAGTAAACATCCCAAGTCAATCACGTCGCCGAGAATAAAATTTGCGGAGCTCATGTCATTTTCCTTCATGTAGTAGCACCAACTCATTCAGTAAATGTTGTCCAAAGTCTATTTTTCCTGGTCCTCTTCATCTGTTAGGTCGCCTACGGGCAGGCTTTCATACTCAGTAGCTCTTCGGAAAGAGCGGCGAAGCGCGTGAGATTCAAACCAGCGAATAAAAAAAGCTAGCGGGTGAGGACTGTAAAGGGGTTCTGGGAGAGCAAACACGGACCCCCGTTGCAGCGCTAATTAGAGCCTCTCGCACCTGGCTATTTAGTAACAGGTGTCTCTTTTACCAAGTGTTGATGAAGTTGCTTTGTAACAGTCACTAAAATAATTTAAAGGGAAGGGAGAGAAGCAGAAAGAGCAAAAACGTTTTCGTGACGTTGTTACCCTGTTTAGACATTTGATTCAATGGATGAGTGACAATTTCCCAGCATGACCTTGAAGTTACTGACCTTCCATAATAAGCTCTACTAACCATTATTTTCTTTTGCTCGACAAATTGTTCCATAGCATAATTTTTCTTTAGCAAGAGTTCGCATCCATAATATTCTTTCCAAAACCTTGCTTTCAAATAGGATAAAATTGGAATCACCCAAATGTTTTCCTAATTCATCTTTAATATGTTCCTAGCAAACAACGGTCGCGATGTACTTAGTTACACGTGAATGCGCATAATTAATTTCCATACAAAGTTTTTTTTGTCAACGGGAGAGACGTAAATTTCGGTGACGTAGTGAGAGATATTTAGTAACATAAATTACAGTAGCTAGCGCTTAACGGTTGTCTTAGCAGCGTGGCCCGTCGGTGAAGCTTACCACCTTGAAAATGCGGGAGAAGGCCTTCCGTTTAGATTTTGTTGCTACGTGGAGAACACGATCATCCTCGGTTTAGCGGTAAGTGGCTTTTAATTGAAAACACCTCGATGCTTGTACTGTGTTGTTATAGTTTAATTTTGTACACCGTCTGAGCAAGTCAAGAAAGTTTAAGTTGAGACTGATTAAAGTTCGATCCGGAATTCACTTTCGATGAACGCTTTTACTTTCTAGTTAATTTGAGGCGACGGGGTTCAGTTTTTAAACTGACAATAGTCGACAAATCTTAATCTATCAGTTAATGTTATTGTTTATTGAATAATACAAATTCCATGCCGGATCACCAAAGCTACTGTGAACAGGACATTATCACCGTGTTTCAAATCTGAGTTCCGCAAACATCATTCTCCTTTTCATTCCTCTCCGACTTCGTCGATAGTTTTCCAAGGGATTACTAGAATTCCCTCAAGAAACACGGAGGAAATTAATATGCAGTAGACTACAAAGTTGACTCACGCGTTGACGTACCTTTTTCCCTTGTGGGCTGTTTAAATTACGCAAAATCAAACAATATCCGACACGTAGATCATGTCAGAAATAACAACATGCGGAAAATAATTCGCAATTTTCAGCTATTAAGTTATGCGAATATGCGTTTACAACGTCTAAAGATTTTCAAAAATTGTTGTCCAGTATTGACTGTTATAAAACTAACGGTCACTTCATCGGAACGTTATTTCCCCGCTGGGCTAATTTCAACGGTTGACCAAAGATACCCATTGAAAAACAGCACTTGACAACTTTTTACATAAAGAAACTTTCAAAGTTTGTTTGCTTGTACGTTGCATTTGGCAAACTGTGAATTTCTTTGGCGTAAAGTGAAAAATAGCATTCATAGAGCGCATGGGGGAGTCTTGCTTCCTATAGACACACGAGTAATTTTTTTCCCTCTTATAGAAAGGCAGCACTATTATGCGGGCATTTTCTTCTTCTTTCTACATGTGTACCGACGCAAAATTAGGTACCACTTATTTCCTTAGCTTTCTCCCAAGAAAGTTTTTCTCTTGCCCATTCCTGAGGAGCCCCTGACAGATTTTATCATAAAATTAAGCTCAGAAAATATTTCATGTAATTTTAAGAAGATTAGTCATGCAATTTTTGTGTCAATGGCTCTCTGAACACGAAAAACTCTGACAGGGGGGTGCACCGGATCATACAAATGAAGAGTTTTGTAATGGATCAGTTTACTGCAGTAATCAAGTCAAATGGCGAAGCTTGGAAAAGCGAAACGGCGCAAGTAATTTTTATTTATCTAATTGGGAGGGTCATGCATCTTCAACAAAAACTTCTTCCACTTAGTAATTATTTCGTCTGAAGTCAAAATTCCTTTTGCGCACATTCTAGCAGAACCTGAAAAAAATAGTGATAATGTAAAGTGGCAACCATGCCACGAGGATATCGTTCGTTTTGTATATTTTTGTCTGTGATTTTACGATAGGCCTTCCCAAATGGCGACTTTTGCGGCCAAATATCTTGTATCGAGTGCAACAAGTGGCGTTACTGGCAGAGTTGGGGAATTAGGCGGAGATATCGGAAAAACACTCAGTATGGAGAATTTGAATAAAAAGGACATAGAAAGAGCTGAAAAAGAACTGAATAAAGAGGCGAAGGCAAGGAAAAAGAAACACCATAAAATGGAAGCAATAAGAGAAAAACTACGATCTGACATGAGAGGAAAATACGGAATCAAAAAAAGGCGAGCACACGAACCAGTTGAGACACATACTGGAATATTGATGCCAAAAAGCGAGAAAGAACTACTGATAAGTCCTGCCGATAAAGATCAGGAAGAGGACGATGAATGTGTACTTTGTCCTTGCTGTTCATGGCTTCGTTTATGTTGTCCTTGTTTATATAACGGTATCAAACATTCGTGAGTTTCACGGTTGACGACTAATATCCGTTGAAAAATAATATCACGGTTGACAAATAATATCTGACGCACGATGTAATACCGCAGACATGGAATAGCTAGTCGTCGGAATCGTCGTAAGTGACCCATATCGTTTGAACTAAATTCCTTCGCACATGAATTAAGTTGAGTTTGGTGTGACCTTTGTTCCAGATAAATACTTAAATTGACCAAGAATTCCTACCCCTGAAACACTTTACCCGACAAAGTACCGTTTATGATTACTTCAGCACCAGCCAATGCGAGATCTGTAAAATTTGAAAATAAATTTAAATAAACGGCGTTTAATGCCAAACTTGTAATTTAATGGTCATCATTTCTTTCATTTTATATCAGTATGTAGAAAGAAAAGCAAGCTGTGCTGAGTAATGTTTAGAAAGCTGGCTCACTGCACTAAACAAATGTTTGCTTTGTCCTTTTCTTGGTAGAGAAACTGTTTTTTCAAGCGTTTATTCAAGTTGGTGCACTCTGATATGACTCCCACTCCGTAAGGGTTCAGCTTGCGAATACCCCTTTTAAATGAGACAAACTAGTACGTATCTTGCTCCATACGTTTTCAAGGTTTTTCTTGTTTCCAGTGTCCAATCAGAAACAATGCAAATGCTGAGGGACTTACTTCCTGAGCTAACCGTATTGATATCGAATGGGGATTGAGACGTTTTGTGCATGTTGTGTGCAACCGACCTAACCCTCTGTAAAACAGCATTCACTGTGGTCAAATATTTAATCACAGGAGAGTCCAAACTAATTAAAACTTGTTCCCAGCAGAACAAATACGAAGGGCCTTGAAACGACGTAGGAAAATGGGCTGCGTTGACGATAACATCGAGTGATTAGGTGGTTCAAATTTTATTGAGCAGTTACAGTTGAAAAAACTTAAAATTTCATTTAAAAATCTGAAAATACCGGTTAGAGGTCCTGCCTCGTTCCTGCCGAAATAATTTTCTGTACATTCAAAAATACTTCAAGAACCTCAGTAGCTGATGGCCTCTCTTCTGGATCTTCTTGTTTACAAGACTCATGAATCCCTATCAGAAGGCGTCTGACATAGTTACTATTATGAACTCGGCCTAGCAGTTTGTCAACAACATTGGGTATTCTCCAGATGTCAATCTTTTCATCATAGGGAGGCATTTCTTCATCATCAAAAGGGCGTGAGTAAGGCCACAACTGTTCAGGGGCTACAAAATCACCATACAGTTCTCTGTGACCACACTTGATCAGTTCACCTTCATCTGCTTTTACTTCTGGTAAAGCATCAAGATCATTGACGACAAGATGAAAATCATTTGTTATCAGGTACTGTGACAATGTCTTGGTTATGTCATTTGAATCACACATGACCCGCACACCAAGAGGACTGTTATGAAGAAATTGGAGGATTTTAACATAGTCTATGCCTAGTTGAAATCTTGTTTCTAGAGTGTTGAAGTGACCAAGTTCTGGTCTCTCCAGGAGTTCATCAAGTGTGTCTGCTGAGCCATGCTTGTAATATCCTGTTACCATCTGATAATAATAAACACAAGGGTTTCAGATATCACTGCATCAACATCCAAACACTGGTTACATGAACATAAATGAACAAAAAGTAATAATATTCATTTTCCAATCCTTGTGGAGGACTCAGATTTTTTCTTTGTCTCACCCTCTCGAAAAACTAACACAAACAGAGCTGAAACAATTTCCCATCTCCCTATATATATATATATATATATATATATATATATAGGAAGTCTGCAAGTCAATTTTCGCGTGGAACAGTGCTCAATACATTGAAGCAGAGCAGAATAAATATTGTGAGAGGAAAAAAGGACGCAACTACGTTTCCCGACAAGCCTGTTTCGTGAATCGCTTCACTCTTCAGGGATTTAATGAAAGAATATTCATGTGACTATTGTGTATATACTAGGAAAATTTACATAATGCGCGGTAAACTTAAAAACTTTAAAGTTCAGCTGTTGCGTAGCAACGCTTTGTTTCTGTGTCGGGATGAAGATACGAGTTCGTTATGCTTATTTAGTGATGAGAGGTTGGGTCAGTGAACTTTAACAGCTGAACTTTAAAGTTATTAAGTTTACCGCGCATTATGTAAATTTTCCTAGTATATTCACGATAGTCACATGAATATTCTTTCCTAGAGAATTTTATGGTTCCTAGCATCATTTTGATCATGGTACTGTATCTCTCCACAACTCTTCCTCCACCCTGAGAATATGTTGTACAAAACTAAATTGTGTGAGTGTGTTTTCTGTTGCATTCCAGATTTAAAAAGAAGGGTGGGGAGGGGTGGGGAGGGGTGGGGAGGGGTGGTGCTATTTAAGAGATAAAAAAATTATTTATGATTAAAAGAAGTTCCATAAAATGCAACATTGATAATGTCACCGATTACGTGGAGAAAGGTCATACCTGGTTATACAGGTGAAAGGACAAAATTGCATGTAACCCCAACTTCATTATGTATACAGTTATAGAAAATAAAAAAAGCCAAATTAAGAGTATACCTACGGAACTAATACTTCATTTTAGAATACAACAGGCTGAACGGAAATCGTTCAATTCTTCACAAATTGTTTCCAAATATTTAAAATGATTTGGTCTATTTTTTCCGAGGTTTTACCTCTAATTATGACGGAATTTAACAATTTTATCACTTTTCCACTGATAGAAGAGTAAATAAAGGAATTTTTTTCAAACACATCGTTGTAAACAGTCAAGGCATATCATAGCCATGTGATTACGTCACCTCAAAGATAAAGTTAAGAAAGTCTCCTAACCCGGGAGTTAAAAGACAAAATTGACAAAATTCACCTCTAGACTGTCATTATAGCAAATGCCAATGAGCTGTACTACAAATTCACTCCTTTGAAGGCCTTCCACCATATACATTCCATGTAGGCAATCTTCGTAATAAAGGTCACTCGCGCATTTACTATACACCACATCATACCCCTGCCAATCCGCCAAATAGACTTCTTTGACCGCATTCAAATGACCTGGAATACCAATTCTGCGTCTAGTCCTCACGTCAAGAGCGATACTGGTACAATCTAACCATTGTAAACACGCAATCCAACCTCGAAAACTAAAATGGCCGCGCGGGCAACGAACGCAAGTTTCGTCAACTACCTGAAAATTAGACGGGCACTCTGGTTTTCCGTTATTTCTTTCAGCACCGCTTTGCCTTCCTTTGTGATGATCGTTTCTTTTGGTTGCTTTTCGTCCAGAAAATAATAAATAATAGGTTAATAACAGAAGAGGAAGTGGAATGAAGTAGATTTTCCAATTGACCGCCATCTTTGTTTTGTGATGTCGTAGCCTGGGTTCTACTAGTGTCCAGTTGATCCGTGAAAGTCCGAGAGAAATCTGGGTTTAGATTTGGGCGCCATTTTTTGAACGAACGTTTGTTTTCACGTTGTTAATTTCAATCACTTCAGGTCTTCCCTTGTACATTTCCATCATGCCTTCACGGTATGATAGCGTGAGAAGTGTTTTTGAACAAGCTCAGCGTAGTTTTCAACAGCACAAGCTGTTAGCGGATTTGAAAAAGCTCCACGACAAGTCCTCTCCTGATGAATTTCTGGAAAGTTTCTTGTTACATTTGAAACATGCGATGGTTGTTTTTAATAGAGAACCTGCTGTTGAAAGAGTCATCGAGTTCGTGGCCAAGTACGCAACGCTAAAAGATCATCGTACCTCTCAAACTGAACAGGTATAACATATATGTGTCAAAAAATTTGGAAAGGGAAATACATCTGAGTGAATCCTGAGAGGACACGAGGAAGCATGGGGATTGCAAGATTTTATAAATACATTTGCTTGTGTATATATTATGTATCTAAAATATTTGTATTATGCCACTTCCTCTATTAGTTTTAAAGTACTACTCGAGTCAAAATGTTTTGATTTGAACGCAGACTTATGCCATGAACACCAAGTGAAGACAAAGTAATTCGTTATGATCCCTTGAAGCTGGCACGAGAGGTTGCTGTTTCTCGGATTATATTTAATTTAGTTCTTTTCTTTTTAATTAATGAACACCATGACATGTTCATAATTGTAACCTTTGGTGATGATGATGAATAGAGAATGGAACAGGTGGGCAGGAGTTAATTCAGTTTCCTATTAATACAGTGGAGTTGAGGTCGATCTTGACCCCAAATCTTTGCAATGTATTTGGAGTCTCCTGAAATGACACCTGGGGTTTCTCTCTGATAAAGTTTCTTGTCTAAACAAATAGGATGGCAATAGAAGTGATGGGGAGGAAGATGATTACAGCAATGTTTTCCTTGACTCCGTCTTCACTTTCTTGCTGGACTCGCATGATGCTAAAGACAAAGCTGTAAGATTCCGTGTCTGTCAGCTAATCAACAAGCTCTTGAATAACATGGGTGATGATGCTGTTATTGATGACGATCTGGCAGAGAGGATATTTGAGAGCATGTTGATACGGCTCCACGACAAGTTTCCTGCTGTGAGAGTGCAAGCTGTTGCAGCTATTTCCAGGCTCCAGGACCCCTCAGATCCTGAGTGCATTGTAATATCCACATACTTAAAACTCATGTCAAATGACTCCAGTGTTGAAGTGCGCAGAGCTGTGCTCCTGAATGTTGCTCTTACTTCTCAGACATTGGAGGGAATAATAGGTAAATCTTTATAGTCATGAAATCCAAGAAAAAATGTTATTTTCCACTTCCTGAATGAAATAACTGCAAAATGTTTTTTTCACAAGCCTCTAAGGCAAGAGCATGGGTCACTTGTATGACTCAGATGATAGCAATTACCCTTATGTTAGTATAATTGCATAAATCTTTGAAATTCCAGGAGCTTTGCTATTTCTAGTTATTATGCCTGAAAAGTATTTTTTAATGGTCAGCTTGACTAGGATGTTAATGGTGTGTCAAAAAATATTTTGTATTTGGCATTTTGAATTAAAATAAGCATTATCTACCAGTGCCTTGCCATCTTTTCTGCAGGAAGAACCCAAGATTTGACAGAATCAGTACGAAAGTTAGCTTATCGTATCCTAGCAGAGAAGGTGAACATAAAATCATTTACAATTGCCCAGCGTGTGCAACTGCTTTCCAATGGCTTGCATGACAGATCAGAGGCCATTAAGGAAGTTTGTGCAAAGGAGCTTCTTGGACAGTGGTTGAACAATTTTGATGGGGATGTGGTCAAACTTCTGAAATGCTTAGATGTTGATGGATGCACAGAGGTTGCAGAACTGGCTTTAAAGACATTGCTGAATGGTATGTATATATACATATACATATACTTTGATTTTATTTGGGTTTCATTTGTACCCTACCACTGAGATAGGTACACAGATGTAGAATTTGAAATTATTATATTTTACTTATTGTAGGATTACCAAAGGAAGACCTTCAAGGTTACATTGATTCTTTAAAGAAAGGACAACAAGAAGAAGGCCCTGCAAAAATTAGCTATGAAAATCTAGATGCTGAGACAGCATTTTATTGGAGATGTCTTGGAGAACATTTGAAGTTCATGGGGGTGAATGGTGAAGCACTTTTGGATGAACTTCTACCTGAAGTATCAGTATTTTGCAAATACATTCAAGGGTATGAATATCTTGATCTTGGAAAATAAAATTAATGTATTATGATGTGCAATATTGTTTTCTCAAGTTGCACAGAAATCTTTCTACTTTTTTTAGTGTTATTGTTGTTTAATTTGTGGGCTTTTTGGAAACACAATGGTTCAGCAATACATGTAAGTATATTGGACTCTCGGGCAAGACCTATATTTTTAGGTTTGATCTTGGGCCTGGTCACTTTCCTGTGTTGTTGAAAGAAAACCCTCTCGGTGTCTTTCCCCACAAAGGAGGGAATAAATGGGTATCAGAAATTGTCAAGGAAATATGCTCTAAATAAGTCTTGCATCCCATTCAAGGACATTGGCAATGTTCTTAGTGGCTATATGGTATAAAGAAACCAGAACATGCTTGCGGACACACCTTTAAGACTAAACACTGAAGTATCATTCTGTATTGACAGGTATGTTGACAACTGTTTGTCCAGAATATCTTCAGAAGAGTCTTATCATTCAGGAAGTCAACAGAACTTTATCACCAGGCAACTTTTGATTCTTGTGGGAGTAATGGACCTCTCTGATGAAGTTGGAAGGTATATATATAGTAAAGTAAAAATATCAAATAAAGCTATGATCCATGCAGATAAGCTGCAATTTTAGCAATTGCAGAGAAGAAGCCTAAAAATTAATTCAGTTTTTAACAAGAAGGGAACAGCTGTTTTGTCTCCTGTAGCTGTTTGCTTTAACCCTTGAACTAGTAGGAGTGACTGTGTTCTAATTTCTCCATACAGCATCACCCTTGAATAAACTATAAAGGTCACAAGAATAATAGAAATAATCACCAATTTATGAAGTTCCCTCTTGCCAAAAAAATTCTCTGGCTTATTTTCATTACCATAGAAAATGTGGTGATATTAGAGTGCGGAGAATGTGATTATTTGTGTTAGGTTGTAAAGGGTTAAACAAATAATGTCATTGATGAAGAAGTAAATGTCCTTGTTCCCTATCTCTTTGTAAGAGATCGATTTCCCAATCATGCCCTTAAGTAGGCTTTTTTAGTTCCATTATGATATCTATTTGTCTTCATCAACATAAAAGATAAATTCTGGATTTAATTCCTGGTCAGCACCAACTACTGTTGTCAGAGCCAAATCACATTTCCCAGAAGGTTTTTAGATATTTCCTGATCAAATGAATGCACCTTGTTTTTTACATCTGTGGATTCTTGCATGTAGCAGCTCTTGTCCTTGCTTTGGTTGTTATTAAAAAGTTTTGTACATATTTTTGCAGAAAGAATCTTTGCCAGATGATCCATGACTTGTTGGTACACATGGAGATCCAGGAGTCATTGGTGGATGTCCTACATGACAGATATGTAGGTGTTCAACCAGAAGAAAGCAGTAGAATCCAGGAGCTTGTTGAGATTATTGCTGATGTTCGACAACCTATTGTGATGATTGAGACTCCTCAAAACAAGGAAGAAAAACGAGTATGGGAACTTAAGGTAATGGTACATCCAACAGGACTGCTGGGGTAGTACATATAGGATACTCTTAAACATCTGTTTACAGGATCCTTGAAATACAAACATGGCTGTATCGAATCAAGATCTCAGTGTTCAGTTGTAGGCTTTCCCTTTGTTTTCCCTCTGTGCCAAGGTGTAGAAGTTTTTGGCAGACTGAAAAATTAAAGGGAAGGGGAGGTATGGTGGTGATCAGACATGGTGTGCCTTGGAGTTTTAAGATAATGACAGTTTGCTAATGCTTCACTGGATTGTAACCATACTTTTAGGTTGCTGGAATCAGTGTTAAACTTAATCAGTACCGTGATGAAATGGAACAGTGTGTGACAAACCAGGATTTTGCTAAGGCAGCTGAACTCAAACAGCAAATTACAGATCTGGAAGAACAGAAAGAAATACTTGATTCACAAGAGAACTCCTTTTCCCAGACTATTAGGGAAGAAAAGGTAATCTTAATGTGAAGATATCTTGATAGATGTACATGTATTGTTTAGAATGGATGCGTGAGGGAGTGGTGGGGTGGGGTGGGTGTATATCGATTTCCAGTAGATTTTAAAATTGTCTCATAACCCACACCTCCCTACTACCTGCAGTGGCGTGCATTTAATGCAAAATCAATAGATTACCCACAGGTAAATGGCCGGAAATTACAGCACTACAAAATATGATTTCAACACAGCTTTAGCAGGAGGACAGTCACCAGGCAGACCATTTTTGCTTCTGACTCTCCTGTTACTGAACTTGTCATCCCTGGAGGTCTCAGCCTTCTGAACCCCACCTCTTAAACTGCTGCCCTTCAGGCTCATAGACTAGGGCTCAGAACAATGGCTGGTCAATGGACAATGTCAGGTCAAATATAGGTTTTGTCTGGTAAACCCTTTGTTGGCCAGACACTTTGTCCAGTTGCTTACTGATGTAAATAAGAATTTTATTCCAAGGGAAGGTCAGAGTCTAAGTGTGGCTGTATCACTTTTCATGCATTGAGTTTGAGGCTGCATGTACAACAAAAGAGTGGTAAATACACTAATTTTATAAGGGAGGGTGGGGTGGAATCTATTTAGATATGACTTAAAGGACATTGGGTTGTGTCCAAGTAAAAAAGAGGTGTGATTGCACAACTTGACTGTTACCAAACAGGAAATTATTTTAAGCACTGCAGACCCTATTCAAACTCAATAGATGCAACACAAAATTATTGACAAAATTGTTGACTTGCATTACAGTGATTTCCAACAACAAAGAAGATTGCAACTTTAGTTTATATAAATGTACAGCTGCTCAGCAGTGAATGTTATACAATTGCAATTTTCTTTTCATCTGCAAGGATGATCCTGATACGTTATTGAAGTGTTTAACCATTGCATCTGAGATGCTGCAGGGTGTGGCAACAAGTGGACTGAATCCAACACTAACCACTTTGGTTCAAACTCTGGTAATTTGCACACCTTTCATTAACTGAATTGTTTCTAAGTGCTCTTAGTCTCAACTTATTCAACAGCCAGTTTCATATAGGGTAAATCTAGTGCCACACTAAGGCATATGAAATACAGTAAGGTCAGTTCTACCAGTTGAGGAATTTGAAATACAAAGTAATTGCTACCCTAACCTTCCAGCAATTGATGGTTGACAGGTGGTTGTTTGGTAATTTGATGTCTTTGATGTGTCGCTTAAGAGTGAGTGAGTTCTCTTAAGCTTTATTTTTTTGCAATGGTATACCAAAACAAAGGGACCCCTTGTCCTGACTAGTCCTGGACTATAGAACCTTTTCCAGGTCGTGCAACAAAATTTCCATATATTTTTAAGGGGCTGTTCCTAAAAAAATTATGTAGAACTGACTCAGTCCTTTCGTTTCCTACAGATTCTGCCTGGTGTTCAGAATGAAGATCCCTTAGTGCGTAACATGGCTATCAAATGCTTGGGTTTGTGTGCCCTCCTTTCTTGTGAATTTGCCCGCACACATCTTGTACTTTTTCTTCAGGTAACAATTTCTTTACAAGATATCATTCCTGCAGTTCACTTACCAAAATAATAACATGACTGCTGAACATCATTGATTTTATATCAGGTGGCCCAACTAGACCAAGAGCTTGTTCGCACAACTGCCCTTCAGGTTGTTTTTGATCTTCTTCTAAAGTTTGGTCTTGAGGCTTTCAAAGTCAATACTTCAGTCCATGATGAGGGGGATGACCCCCCTTCCTCTGACTCAGAACAGGACAAATCAGACAATGAAAATGATGAAAATGAAGGAGGTGAAGATGTCACAGAAAAGAAAGAGGATGAAGATGTGGAAGAGACCGAGGCTCGAGATACGGACACTGCTGCAAGTGTGCTTACAATACTTACTGGAATTCTAGAGAGCGAGGTTAATTTTCCCATTCTTTACACTGTAGTTTTTTGTTTAAAGAGATCCAGTTTTAATCTTCACTTACTTGTCTATGGGTTTTCAGTTCTCTCATCTCTGGTTGTCTCTTTCCCCAGCAAGCACAATCACATATTTGATCTACATGTATATTGTATTTCTTAAATTGATTTATCCATTCCAAAAAATGTTATAATTTTAGAGCAATGACCTTAGGAATGTGGCTGCTGAAGGATTGGCCAAGTTGTTGCTCTCAGGTCGTGTTCTGAGTGCCAAACTTTTTTCACGACTTCTGTTGCTGTGGTACAACCCTACCACTGAGGATGATGTAAACCTGCGGCACTGCTTGGGTGTCTTTTTCCCAGTTTTTGCCTTTGCTTCACGGTAAGTCAAGGTGCTCAATTTTCTAAAGAAATTTGCATCTCATTTTTAGAGTGGTAGGATATTTTGAACAAGCTTGTAGCTTGCTGCTTGCTGCTGGCTTTGTTAGCCAATAGGCTTCACAATGCAAACTAAAGAAAAAAGCAAATTTTTCTGCCAATTTCAATTGTTGCAAAGTATAAAGGCCTCAGAGCTTACAATAATAATTACAGATAATACTAACTATGCCTTATCCAGGCTAACCTTCATAACACTTAGGCAGTGTTTTCCTTTCTGGGCAGTAACCAGTAAAATTTGCTGCCTGAAGTACCTCTTATTACTGCCTAAAAGCGCTTGGAATTCTTGAAAATTCAACAGGTAAAAGGACTACTCTGCCAGTTTTAATTTTTTTGTATTGTACGTAAATAAGGGAGAACACTGCATAGGCACATCCACTCATAAACTGTATGTGACCAGTTAATAACTCAAATATCAAAAATAGAGGGTTTGGTTGACTTCATTACTCATATAGTCTGACTTTTTTTTTTTTTCAGCATGAATCAGGAGCTGATTGAAGAGGCATTCTTTCCCACACTGAAGACATTATTTAGTGCCCCTATGTCATCTCCTCTGGCATCAGTTAACATCAATAATGTGGCAGAGTTGCTGGTGGATTTAACAAATGGAAAATACTTGGAAAAGAAAGAAAAATCACATGTTGATGCCAATGAGGTAAAAAAAAAATTGTTTTTTTTATTCACTGCCTATAAGTAGTTTCTTCCTCACTATTTGAGCCCCAGCAGAGCTAGAGATTGTATGACAACAAACATTTTGGACTGAGAGTTATGCTAGCATCTAAGCTTTGTGACCAGCTTTAATGAGACTAGACTCAATGTAGATGAAACAAGACCCATTGGAATAAGGCAAAAGGCTTAATGGAGTTAACAACAAAGAGCATCAGTATTTTCTAGAAGTCAGCAGTGCATGCATTCTTGCATGTGCTTTGAGTGTGAACTTGCAGCGTTGTGAGGAGTGGCAGTTCATCGTCCAGGCAATGTTCTCCATCCCTTCTCTTCCTCTTTCCACTGTTTATTCAGTGTGACGGTGGCATGTTTCCCTTTCCTGTCCTAAACTTTATGGAAATAATCAATACTAGATCCTTCTAATGAGGCTAGATTTAATCAATGCTCACTGACAGAAATATAAATGATTTACTTGAGACATGTCCTGCCACTGAAGCATTTAGCTGGTGAGCTAATTGAATACGTATCTTTAAATTTTTAGAGTTTGTATGGTTTTTTGTTGATCATAACATACACTTTTAGCTCTCGTCAACCATGGGAGAAGTCTCCATCTAGTATCTGGCTGCCAATAATGGAAGCTCCTGGATGTTTCAGGCACCCAACCTCAACTAAGCGATGTAGTTGTTAACATTCTGTTGTAGGAAAGTACCCACAGGAGCATAGGTTAACAGGAAAGCTCACTTGAAGCAAATTTCTTTCTGTCCAATCTGAAATTTAAAAGGTGTACTGACTCTTTTGTAACCTTGCATGTGTATAATTTGCAAGTCACAGGTATAGCTCAAGCTGATCTGTGAGCCATAGTTGCACAACAGTGAAGTGACAATCAATTTATGGCCGGGCAACACTCCTCTTACATTTGGCCAGTAGTTGGTCAGTTAGTGACAGATAATCTACCCATATAAAAAGCCATCATTGACCGAGAAACAGATCTACTATTGACCAATATATTCTCAATGACAGTAGATCAATAGATGGAGTAGGAAATTGGTAAGAAACTTCATCAAGGAATAGTACTGTTGCCTTCATGTATATGATATTTTCTTTTTCTTGATGTAGGCATACAGCATTCATGCTTCTCTCAGCATTGCAATTGCTAATGAGATTTTGTCTTGTCCTGATGCTCCCGGTGTGCGAGTTCTGTGCAAGGTACTGACTATGATGGACTTGACTGGCTGTACACAGTCCACAGTCAAGGAAATTAAAGTCCTTACAGGAAGGCTGATGGAGGTAAACATGATGTGTGTATCTTTGTATTTGTGAATGTGCAATCATGTTCAGCCCACAATTTTTTTACTGGTGTCACAAAAACTTAACTCTACTGATGTAACACCCTGGTATTCTCAGCTAGCAGATTGTCTCAATTACAATACAAGCTGTCATGTTAAGATTTTAAAATGCACTCTTCATGTAGCCATGGCTTTACAGAATAAGTTGGGCTACTTAAGGAGAAAAGTGGTTTCAGTTTCCTTTTAAGGGACTATTGGTGATCTGGCGATCAGTTTTTTTTTTCAACATTAGAGAGGGACAAGTTCAAGATCTGATTGTTAATTCTTCCCTCTAGATGATTTACATTTCCATGTAAATTAGTTAGGAGAATTTGGTGTTAGATCAAGATAACAATGTCTAAAAAAGTTTGAGTATTCTCATGGCCTGTTTGCTGTATGGATATTATAAGGAGAAGTAAAATGTCAATCTCTTCTGGGAGGTAATGGGTTTAAGAAGTCTCATCTCAATACTTTCACAATTTTAGTGTCAGTAATGTAAATTTTAGTTGTGTATTTATTGTAGTGTCTCACAGTTTTCCTGACACGACAGACTATACATCTCAAGCCTTGATACCTGTTTGTATGCATGTGTTAATTCAGAACATTTAGATTCCTTTTCCCAATATTTTAAATGCTACTCATTATTTTTATCTATTTTCCAGGAAATTGAAGAGAATATGTCCCTGAAATCATTGAGCAAGTTAAATAAAATGCTGGAAACTCTCACAGATAAGGAGATTGGTTAGAATAAACCTGGACTTAAAACAGGAGCTATCTATAGTTTGGATGGCTGCATGGATGAATAAGTTTTGTTTCTGAATCCCATGAATTTTCTTTGGCATCTACATGTAAATGACTCTAAACACATTGAATTATTATTGCTTATTATTAATACAAGATTTGTCCATAGATTTAATTGTCGATAGACAAAAAGAGCAAAAGAAGATTATCTAATAATGCTAATTTCCATGCGTATTGGTAAATTGACAAGTAGGTGATGTGCATAGACAAGATGAGAACAAAAACTAGCTGGTAATATATCTTACATGACACCAAAATAATTTTCCTCTCTGATTTACAAGGAAGTGCATGGCATTTGCCAAAAGGAACTGATAGTCACATATTTAGCATTTAAAGACTTAATGGGGGTCCTGCTAGCTTAAAAATGGAAATCATCTGGTTATAGATAGTGTCTCAGAGACTGAATTAGACAATGGCAATCAGGAAAATGCAGAGAAAACAGAGGAACCCAATGAAGGTACTATTAATGAGAAAGCTACTGTTGATGACATAGACACTTGGCAAAGATTAGAGGAAAATACCTGTGTACTTCAGGAACAAGCAAAATGCAACACAGAGGATACAGACACCATGGGTGGTAGGTTTTGACATAATCTGAAAAACTGTTTTTGTTCATTTTTCCTTTGCCAAGCTTGGTTAGAATTATTTTGAACAAGGGCTTGGAATCTTTAATCTTGCAAGCACTGTGTCCCAGTTCTTGTCATATCTTTCCCAAATCAGTTTGAAGTTCTTTCTATCAATCCTCTCATCCATATCACACCAATTTCTTATATTTGCAGACAAAAACTCTGAAGTCCTGAATGAAAACCAAGCTGACAACAAACCAAAAGAAATTAAATCAAGAAGAAAGAGTAAGAAGCAAGTAGGGTCAAAGTCAGTTGCCAGGGATAAAGAGCTTAGGTATGAAAAGCAGTGATATGATGGGTCCCTAGCACTGGGTGAAAACACTCTTAATAAATGGGTCGCTTTTACAACAATTCAACTTTAATTTTCACTCTTTCACAGCTTGGTTAATAAGGTAAATAATCAAACTGAATGTGTAAAACAGGCATTTTTCATAAATTAAATTATTTTATAGTTTTTTTCTGAGCTAACAAATTTTGTAATTTCAAATGCATTTGCTTTTTTCAGTGCCAATGTTTCTGCTACTTCTTAAATTGGAAGATTTTTTAACTCCTTCATTAGAGACAGACCAGTCCATTATAAACCAATTAGACTTCTCAATTTCCTAAACATTTTGTTACCCATTTTAAAAACAGCCCTGTTGCTTTGGGTGAGGAAACACCAGCTCGGCAAACAAGATCAAGCAGGTATGGCATAGAATGTTTTTTTACCCAAAGAAATTCACTTGAGAAACATTTACTTTGTAATTTAGACGTTTGTAAAACATAATAGTAATGGGTGGTAAAATGTGAAATATATGTTCAAGTTGTTTTGTTCTGATGTCTCACTTTCTTTCTTGTGTAGAAAAAGCAAGACAAATGTTAATAAAATGGTCAAGTCTGTGATAGATTCAGAGGACAATGACAGCAATGGAAAAGAAAATGTTTCAAGCAATGATGCTGATGATGTGTTCCTCAAATGATTCACTCACTTTGCATGTGCTGTGTCAACATTTCACATTAGTTTAACTTGCATTTCTTCATAGCACTTTAGGAACCTGTTGTTCATAGTTAATAAGTCTAATAGCAGTTGTTGGTTTTTTAAATGTCACGGTTTAATGATCTAAACATGTACAATGGTAAATCTTAAAAGTTCTGTATAATACCATTAGTAGTAAAAAGGGCAACTTGTTCTCCCTTGTTGCAATACAAACAATTTTGGTGTCTACTTTTGTTGAAAGAATTGTTGCTGAAATGGTGGATTTTGTCTCATGTAGATGACTGTTCAAGTGTATGTAATGGTATCTGTAAAATTATAGTGTTATTATAGAGACTTTTCAGAAATGCTGTAAAACTGGATATATTGTTGTCTTCTAGATTTGGTTTGATATTTCTTTTGTCAATAAAATAAGATTACTGTCTATTTGTCACAGTGGGAGACAAAACAATGAATGTTTTAGTTTCAAGACCTTTGTTATAGAACCCTTCAGAAATAGGATTCTACCCAATCTCTCTCTCAATTAGTATGTGCACTACAATTGGTCAATTAGGCAAGCTGCACTATGCTGCACAGCTGCTTAATTCAAAAGTTTGTTTTAATTGAAATATTTTCCCTTTATTTGGACCCAGTGATGTAATAAAATACCTTTCAAACCTTGTTTCATACTAGTTACAGACCCTTTTTGTTTTCTTTAATTTGGAATTGTGGCCTGGGCTTCAGTGCTTGGGCTCTAAATCCAAGCAGAAAAGAATGTGACTGTAACTTACAGCACAGACTTCAAACTTGGTTAGTATGGGGTTTGTGCACGAGCCTGCCCACATGCCTCAGGAAAGTTCAAAATTTGAACCTTGATTCATAAATACATACAAGACATCTACTACTAAGAGGACGAACAGGTGGGGTATGATAAAGGTTATAAATGACCTAACAGGAAGAATAGACAGATAAATGTACAGCCCAACATTAACATAGTGGTTTAATCTGTTATTGTGAATTGTAATTACCTAGAAGCAATGTTGAAAAAAAAAAGTGACTATTTTTACATTCCATGACATAAAGTTTTACTTTTTAGCCAGTTATCTTTTGCATTGTTAACACATTTAAATATAAATAAGAACATTGTTATCAGGACAAAAATCAAAACCACATAAATAAGTACACTACTAAAAGATTTCAGAAGTAATATAAGGACTAGGATTTAGGAATCTTGGTCACAGAGGGGTGACAGGAATGGTTTGTAAAGACAGGAAAGAAGTCCTGCACTGAAGGAAGCAACAATCAGGCATTAAACAATATCAATTGCTGAATGCAAAGTGAATACTGTCCAATAATCCCTCAGACAAAATGAACAGGGTTCTGGGGAGAATAAATTGTTCATTCAGTATAAGTACTCATTGACAAGTGATAATTAGTGCAATTGCATTTCCCCTTTTTTTCTCCTTATATAGATAATTGCTTTGGTATTACAATCAGCTCACACTGGGTGGTTATGGCCAGAAATGACAACATCCTTGACCAATCAGACTACAATACTCTAAGATCTCCTATCCAATTACAAATATTTTACCAATCTTTATTATAATACAAAAACCCCCTTAAATAGCCCCTTTCCTGGTTAGAAAACAAGTGGAGGAAGAGAGAAGTTTATAAGAAAGACAGGGTAAGTGAATTTTCTTCACAAAGAAGGTAGCTCATGACAAAGAAGGGGGTGGGTTGATACAGACTTGACAGAATGTCTTAAACATTGTTTCAGTAAGCTAAGAAATGAGACTAAATATGATAAAAATCTATGGATAGTAATCAAATTGGTAATCAGGTATACATATACTAGTTCATATGTTAAAATGTCCTCAGGAAAATTATGAACCAATATTGGTATTTGAGAATACAGCAAAATTATACTACTGAAAACACAATCTACTTTCCATTGCTTAGAAAAGCAATTTTGAAATATTTGGGAAATACAATTAATAACAACTTTGCTTCATCTTGACTTTACTCAGAAGCAAATTTCAAATGAAGGAACAAAAGAAAAAGCCAACAAAATGGATAATTTTTGCCAAAGCCCCAAAAAGCATTTAATTAAAATATATACACCAACATGACATGCAAGAGGTTTTTTACACAGGACAACATATCCTTGTCCTAAACTAACACTCATACGATGCATTTGGAACAACAGGAAGAGTACGTGGCTTTCTAATCCTCTGGCTTCGTCTAGGCTGACCTCTTGAGCTGGCATGCTGTTCAAAGTAATAAAAAGTAATAAGAAAGGGGGAAATGAGATGCTTGGTAGAGATCTAGACAATCTTCCTTTGAGTCCTGCTTTGTGTTCTGGTCTGAAACAAAAGGGTTAATAGAGCTACCAATTAGTATTGTCAAGGCTATCTTTGGTAGGAACACACAGACATATATAGTTCAATTGCACAACATGAGGAGTAAGAAATGGGAAATATATTTTAAATAAAGCAGTTTTCAAAGTAATCTATGTTTCATTGCTCAAATTCCAGCACAGAAAAATTGAGTTCCACAGTTAATTTGGAAAAAAAAATCAAAATTGAGGAATGAGAAATTAGTATTACTTTCAACAAGTACACCATCCCATGGATCAGTGTTTCACTTAATAGAATTCACTGTTAGTCATGATTAAAAATCTTTTTTCTTTTAATTTTTGCCCCTCTACCTGATACCAATTATCATGCTGGTAGACCTATGGCACATGACAATTAAAAAAATTTAACAAGAGAGTTTCACATAACATTAAACTGTTGTGTGAGTTTGCTTAATAAGTGGACTTTTTCCTTGCCCATTAGGTCAATGGCACTTGCTGTGACATAACTACTATTAGCAAAATTCAAAGCTCATTGCCAACAAAAATGCCTGAGAACTGGTGGCGGGAAACTTGCTTCTAAGGAAAATTTAATTAACGAGGTTATGACAAGGTTTTAAGTAAGAGCATAGAACAAAATTACACTATTTTCATAATCACCATAAATTATATGGTGTAAAGTAAATGTATGCTGCTTTTTCATATGGTTTTTGGTACAAGAAAAATAATTTTATCATTCAAGACTGATGTCAACTTCTTTGATTTTCATGTTTGGAGCAATGTATTTATCTGAGTATTCAAAAATATTCTTGGATTTTAATTTTTTAACTTAACCTAAACTTCCACATTATGAGGGAATTAATTTTTTAACTTTTAAAACATTGAAATTATTCAAATTACTAGCAATCACATACACATTTATTTAAAATAAAGGTTAAAAGATTATCTCCAGTAAAACTGAAAACAAAGTTTTAATTCATGGTTAAAATTGGCTCATTTGGTAAGTATTATTACAAATTAAAGCAAACAGTTGGATTAATAACAACCATTCTTACTCCCCTGAAAACCACATTTTTCAATGAAACATTTTCATTGCAATAAAACTGCTGCTTATCTCACCTCATACTGCCTTGGGAGGGTAGTTGACTGTAATGATAAAAATACATTTATATTTAAGTTTATGAATCAAAGTAATTAATATCATGTTTTACTCCAATCATCACAAAAAGAACTCAAACTTGGAAAACAAAAGTAAGGAAGGTTTTGAACAAAACCTTCAAATTGGCAAATTTTTACCCACAATCACCAAAATATCATTAAGTTATCATTATGAAGAGTAACACAACATTAATTTACCTCAAAATGATCATAGCCTGAGCCATGGACTCTTGGACGGTTTGAGGGTCTCTACAATAAAACCAGAAGACAACAAACAGGTCTCTTACAAGAGAGCTCAAATTTGTTCTTTAGCTACACAGATACTGGGGAATAGTTACTTTCCCAGAAATTGTACCTCAGAGATAAAATCAAACTTACCCCATGTGAACGTGGAAGAGTTGCTGACCTATTGATGTCTGAGCCATAGGAGGAAGCTTTTTTCATTCCTTTAGTTTTAGTTTCTTCTGGATACTCCTTTAACTCATCCCTTAGCTTTTCACTAAAAGAAAAAATGGGAAAAAGCTTAAAATAATAAAACACATTGTTAACAATTGAAAACCATGTAAGTTCCTGTCAGCAAACATGTAGAGGAATATAGCTGTGCATAAAAATATTCCAGTGTTGAAGAACACATAACAGGCTTTTCATTCTTTATTACAGCTACTAGAAGTGAAAAACAAAATTAACATAAAACTGGCTTACTTAAGATGTTAGACTGGAGAAATATGAGCTTGGTTATGCTGATTAAGGGGATAAAATTGCCCCAATAACAACTTGTACAATATCTCCTGCACATACCTCTCTGGGTCAGGATTGGCTGAATTCTCCTCCTCCTCTTCCTCTTCTCTCTCTTCTATGAGACTAAATTCTTCAGATTCATCAATTGGCTCATAATCGTTGTCTGTTGAATTCATTCCACCATACCATGATTTAGCCTTGCGAAGCCTGGCTTGTCTATGGTCTGTTACATCAGTGCCATAATGACGTAGCTTCTCTGCCAGGACAGTTTGACCCTACAACAAAATGTATAAATTTTTGCTTGTTACTTAAGCAGCTTTTTAGGTAGCTAGTAAAACCTAAACACTCTGGCATCTAAATCAAGTGCTCTTTCTGAAAGAGAAGTTTAAATATAACTGAGTTTGTCAGAGTGCCACATTTGCTTAAGAATAAAGAAAGATTACCGTGGCAGCAGTCTTTATCATAGTGTCAGCAGCAATGGACAGACCATTTTTACTGACTCTCAAGAATGTGTCATATCCACTCTCTTTCAGCTGTGAAATGTAACTGTCAATGTCCTGTAGGGGTGCAGAGAGTACAAAGACAAATGCAATCAATTATTGAAAACCAATCAATAAAGTTACAAAATTTTCAGAGCAATTTTTAGTTAACTGTCTTGAAAAAGTAATCTGGTTGCTTTGACTTTGCTTAACCAATCCCTGAGGTTGGTCTGGAAACCTGGCACCAGTTTCTCAAACAATGAGATAAAAAAATTAAACCATTCCTCTCCCTGTACATTGGAACCTTTCCTTGCATGAGCCTCTGGGCCTCTTGTCTAGTTAGCCTTTGTTTTAATTGGTTATGGTTTTGGAAGTTAAACTTTACATACCCCTTCTTTTTTCTTATCACATTTTGACATCATCTGTGATATATTATTGTACAGATTCACAGCAACATGGAACCTATTTGTTAAGCTGAATTGTTTGCTGGTACATAATAAGAACTAATGAAAAATTGCAGCAAGCAGCCAGTAAAGCTGAGGAACCACTTCACAAATGAAAATAACATTTGCAGAAAAGACCAAATAACAAAAAAACACCACCACCATCAACCATGCATACATCATTTTTACTAACATTTTCATTGCGAGATAACCATGGATGCACAAATTTACGATACAGAATGCTGGATCCCTGAAGAGAAAATAAAATTCAATATATGAACTTGACAAAATCTGCTCATTGTGGCCATAAAATACAAACTCTTAACCAAGAGATTTACAAGAAGAGAAAGAAGGTAAGTGGTAATAGAAGAATGCTTCTAAAACCAATAATATTTTTGTAAAACACGGATACAAAGATTACCTTTGTTGCAGGTAACAAAAGCCAAAGCATGAATAGTATCTTAATTTCATAATAGAAGGGGAACCTAAAAAGAAACAACAAAAGAAATGCAGTACATCCCCAACAATTAAATCATAAAAATTACATAATTATTCATAATACTTTCCACACCTTATAATATCCAGTCCACAAGCAGACAATTGTTTGGAAACATGAAATTGAAATGCCATTTTTTTCTCTACACTGAATAAACATGATCCAGAATGACATTCCTTTTTTTTCACCTCCAGGAAAGTCCTCGCATATAGGAATGATGTCTACTAAAATCACCTTCATTCTACATCATATGATTGTAGATTTAGAAAAAATTGTCATCTCTGATAGAGGTTCATACTGCTAGATTAGAGAGCTCCACCTAGACATGGCAGGTTTTGTATTCCATGACAAATGTAAACTTTCTTATCATTTGCAGAGTACAGTCCTTTAGATCTGGATGTTGACACACACTTCAATGACATGAGCTTTGCAGTTAAGCTCTTTCTCAGTAAGAAAAGGAATACAGTAGATAAAGTGTTCATCAAGTACACACTTTCTAGAATGTTATTACTAACAGTTTCCTGCTGATTGAAGATAAAAAAGAGGCTTTCAAGCATTCTTGGGTTAACAGGTAACAAAACTGAATTTCATTTTCCAAAACAATCGAAATTGGTTGGCACTAAATATAAGAAAAAAATAAAGGTGCTCTTACTTGAAGACAAAAAGACACATCTTATAAACAATATTATTGCTGATAAAATGGAAAGAAAGGATCCCTTGATGTCTATCAACCTTTGCAGACATATCTGTCACTTACTCTGGTCCTTTGTTATCAGAGTTGTTAATGGTATTAATTCACACTGACTTGTGCATTTTTTGGTGCATATTTGTTACATAGTTACATAAAAAATAATTGATTTTTGTGGCCTATTAGCTCACAAGAACGGTAAATTTTCATTACATTGGAAAAAGAAACTTGACCTATCTTTTTTATCTTATTTTGAATGGACAAATAATTTTCTTTCTAAATTTAAGCTATATTCTTTGAAAAGGAGGGCTGGTATCAAAGGGCCTCCAAACCCAAAACAACCTTAAAAGGGTAGACAATGCTGTATTTTCCTTGTAAGTCCTGCTCCTATAAGAAACATGCATAGAGAAGCCATTCTCTGTTGTGGTTGGTGTATCGTGTAAACAGCATTATTAGAAAAGCCTCTTTCTACTGTGGGTGATCAACCATGTAAACAGTATTATCAATCCTTTGAAAAGCCACAGCCTGAAAAACATGTATGGAATGAATAAATATACTTACCAAAATCCAAGTAGAAGATCAGCAAAGAGTTCTAGTGTGATAAAGAGAGCAAATACTATCCAATACATCATCCATCTCACCTGAAAACACACAGAGACAGTTTTGCATTTAAATATACATAAACATATTTGTATTTTCATGAAAAATGTTATAGTACATCAAACACTTTGAAGTTCAGTCTATTACTGTTGAAGTTTTGATAATTAGGCTGCAAAAACTGAAAAGATTCATCCTAAAATCTTACAATATTTAAGAGAATTAACTTCATGTTATCACATAACCCCCCCAAAATAGGCAAAACGGAGTCTTCCTCGTTGTAAGAGAATTTTCCCTGACCCATGGCAACAGTTAATTTCAAGCAAGGATTTGTACTCAACAAACAAATGTGTTTCATCAGTTGCTTTGGTCACCTATGTCAAGTTCAGTTGCTTTATGTAAGGGTGTCAAGATTACAGTTTTAACATTTCTTTTTAAGACAAACTGAAGCTAATCCAAACAGTAAACAAGAACTGGCCTGCTTAACACCTTTAATACTCTAAGAAATACTGTAAACACAACAGCTGATTAGGAATGTGTATTATCTCGATATTGTTTGCCCAGCATACATTCAAATTCATGCACGGACGACATCCTTTGTCATTCCATGCAAATCAGAGTCTTTTCTCATTTGCAAATGAAAAACAAGACTGCAAAATACTATCATTTAATCTAGTCACACTCTTTAGGTCACAAAAATATTGACCATATTATTTTCTTTTTCTTAAGAATGACTGGGAAAGAGAAAACCTCTGCTGAAGAAAACTGACAGTGGCAAATAAAAAAGAAAAATACAATGGCTATGAAGTGTAAATATGTTAATATGTAACTGGTACAAAGTTCTAAGGTATCTCTCATGTGGAGGTGAATGCTGGATTCCAAAAACGAAATCAACTTTAGCACTTTGAAGATTTTTTCTCTGATCTACTGACAAAATCTCTAGCTCTTAGCTCTTTTGTTTGCACAGCTAAATGTTTCAATTACAGCACCGAATAATCTGTAATATTAGAATATGCGATCCAAATGGTGTTTTTTTACTTTAAGCCACATATTTTCATTGGATTTTGGCAGAAATTCAAGGCTACATACTAGATTTAAAGCCAATTTATTTGAAGACCTGAAACAGAAAAGCAGATCTTTCATATATTGCATGTTCAAGCACAACAATGGACAGACACAAGTCAATACGTATAACGTAGAACTGGTCCGTTAATATCAGGGCGGCCTAAATTGTTTAAAGTGATAAGGTTCATGTCTCAAGAGGCGCTATCCAGCTTAAATGGTGCAATAAAATGAAGATATATATACTCAACCACTCTCAAGATTGAATCTAGTTTGAATTCAAAGATAATCAAGGACTGTTTCCTTAGTGGGCCTGCCTCCGCTACCGTAATCGATGCTGATCGTCAATAAATGTTCGCGAAAACACAAGCCAGAATAATTATCAAGCATACAGTTTTAAGCTAGAACATAACCGGATGCTAAAATCTAGGTACTCGATGGTTGCAAATCAAAATTCTCGTCATCGTGACGGTGAACAATTAATTAGCACGAGAAGCTTAGAGCTTGAGTTAATGAGTTCTAACTCTACTGTTCGCACTTTGATTATTCCAGACTGTACCCTTATCATTACTTAAACTAGTAAACACTGATATTAAAACACAATGTCGAGTCTGAAGCGCTATCGAAAAACAACATTCCAAAAATCATCTATCGAGCAGGACAGGAAAAAATAAGAAAACATTACAATGGAAGCATGAAAACAAAGAGCAGATACTCATAGGAAAGAGATATCTTACATATTCGCGGACATTCTTTGTCTTGATCGCTTTATATGAATAATACGCTGGATAGAGAGTTCCAAACACGAGCCTGTTTGAATGGAATAGGAGATAATCGCATTTACTTTATTTTGAAAAAAAAGAGAATCGAAAACCGCGCCAATACTTACATGATAAGTCGCGACGCCACGTACGAAACCATTTTCTACGCTATCTATGGCCTCTAGTCACAATCCTCTGCCTTGGTTTAACTCATAGTCGAATAATAAGCCATGCGGCCGCCAGATATATTTTAAGCAGGAAAAACGGACGTGACGGATGAGTCCTACCAACCTTCGGTTGCTTGTTGTTTGCAGAACTATTTCTGCAGTGATATTGGTCAGCGGAAGACTGGTTGTGACGTAATTGCACTAAAGTGAACAAAACGAAATATGAAAGAGGATGAAACTTTTAGTTTCTTTAAATGCCTTCTACGCGTCTTGTAAGTACTATCTATTCAAAATTCCGTTCTATACCTTTTTCAGTTTCTTATGCATACCACACTGAGAATGGGTCGAAATGAAGCAAATTATCTCGCCATGTATTACAACAACCAAGCATCCATCACGCATTCAGACGGGCTCCACGCGTTATGCAATATTATTAAATACCCAGACTTTCACTCAACAAAACGAGCACTGTGATTGGTTGATTCTTGGTCACGTGCCCCTGATCAAATTCAAATTTATTATGACCGGGATGCAATTGCGCAGTTGTTGCCCGCGCGCCGATTACAACAGCACATGATTGTTTAAGGGAAAGTCTAAGTAGATAAGAAGGCACTAATGTATGGTCCCTCGGGAAACTAGTTAGTTTTGTTTCCCTCAAGTCCTGATCTTTCCCGAGACGATATCGAGGGAAAACAAAACTTACTGTTTCCTTCGGTACCATACATTAAGTAAACTGAGACGGAAAATAAACTTTTGATGGTTATTTTACTGTAAGGGGTAGTGACACCGGGATCATAGGAGCCCTTGATGATCTGTGCAATCAACATAGTTAACGAGTTATCCATTGAGAAGGATGTCGGCCGGTTTATCAAAGACAACCGTCGGTAAGTAGAGCTATGGTATCCGTTAGATGACAAGTCGGCGACGTGACCAAGTCGCGGTTCATCATGGCAATCTGTAAGCTCTTATATTTAGTTTTACTTTTTATAGAAATGATTTGCACTTAATTAGTGTTGGAAATTTTAATCGGCGAGAACTAAGAACTATATTGGCTTGTAAAACTATTTGAAAGTAGAACAGAGAATTCCAGGTCCCACTTGATTTACCCGGCCGCAATTTTTACGTCGTGTCACCTATTCCTTTACCCCCCACAGGAACGTTCAGGCCAAATTTCACATGTTGTCCTATTCATGACGTGGAAGCAGGTGAAGCGTTGTTACATTTCACGAATGTTAAAATAAAGTGAGCTAAAATACGTATGATCCAGTTAAGCTTGTGTTCGATTAGATCCTCCAGTAGAATGATTCCAAGTCTTTGGCGTGCGGGTACGCGTGGCGCAAATTTCATCATTCTTTCTGGTCAGCGGTTTCTCATCTACGTGGCTTACGATAATGGAGTTTCGTGTCCAAATGTTCAGCGTGGGACTAGAGTTTCCCCATAATAAAAAGTTGCATCACTTTTCTATCCTTTACTCTAAATTTGAGATAGGAGGAAGGTGAGCTTGAAATACAGAATGTTGCAGTATTTGGCGATACTTGTTCTACTGACGTCCGGTAAGTTAAGTTTTATTTGATGTTAGGTCATTGTGCAGGAGAACAAAGCTTCTCTCAAATCATAACTTTCATGATTATCTCGTACTGATTTATCAGTCATCGATTTCAGGTTCTGCATATTAAATGGTGTCTGAAAAATGCACTGTTATGATAAGTAAGAATTTGATTGATCACTGGTGTTTGGTATCCACATGTATAAAGGTTTTGCTACACATTTTAATTCATCTGTCAGGAAATTACAAGAACCGTATAACCCACTAAAATCTTTGTGTTGGCGCTTGTCGCCCTCGATTTGATCAGTACTTCTCCCTACCTGTATATGTGAATTAGTTGGTGGAGTTCGGCACCCTATCAAAATGATGAGCAGTGATGAGTTTGTTTTTCTCTTTTTGTTTTTCATTTTTCCATGATTAACTGATTAACATGATTAACTGTTGTTTTGATAATGTAGGGAGAAATTAAATATCGGTCACTTTTGATGATAGTAAGAGAGTACCATAAATCTCATGGATTTTTTATTGGTTTCTTTAATCATCAAGTAAGATCTAACAATCTATCTCTACCCTCTCAATTCTATCATGTGATACATTTCAACAGATAGGTAAAACAGATTACAAGCTGGGTTGATGAATTCAGAAGTAATTATTGTTTAAGCAAGAAACTCTATAGTTTCATTTCCAGCTAATTATGGAACAAATCAGAATGTATTTGTTAAATTGAATAAAATCCCATCATTTGAATTTTAGTGACCCAAAATTAACTTGACGGATTAATAAGAAAATTTTTTTTAGCTGCAAATAGACTATTTTCTTTATATTTACCTATGGATTTGAGGATCATGGATAGTGGAATCAGTATCGAATGTGAGCCATAGACTTTTCCCTTTAACCCATAAGAGTGACTAGCATCTATTTTCCCCTTATAATATCCCCTGAATCAAACGTAAAAGTCATGAGAGTTATGGAAATAAGCAACAAGTAAAGGAGCTCTTGATTGTTAAACAAAATCTCCTTGACAGCACCTTAGGAAATGTACAGAAACAGTATGGAGAATGTGCATACTAATCTTAGCGTGTAAAGGGTTAATTGACTGGAACTGAAGTATCTACTTTGGTCCTTTAACTTTTTTCTTAGTTCATAGTACATATTTCTTAATTTTTTTTTATACCAACTGATTGTAGTAATGCCAAGAAGCAACTTTGGAGTTTCTCAATAGCTCATTTTACTATAATTCTTTTTTATTGTCTCAAGCTTTGGGAGACCAACAACAAGGACTCGTTTTGGTTAAAAGTGATGATGACGACACCAATGATGACAAAGTTAAGGTAGCACCTAATACTGAACAATTTGATGAAGAAGACCTTGAAGTTTTTCAGCCATCATCAGAATGGCAGTCTATCAAACCAGGTCAAAGTATTCCAGCAGGACTCCATGTGCGCATGAACCTACAAACAGGACAGAAAGAAGCCAAACTTATGGAGGGAGATGATGGAACTAAATTCAAAAATAACATGGACTCAGAGAAGAAATTTATCACAATTGATAAAAATGTCATTTCAAAGCAACGTCTTAAAGAGGCTCTTAAGGATTTTAGGGATAAATTTCATGATGAAAGCGCTAATGGGGAGCATTCTGACCAAAGTCATGGTTCATTGACTGGAGGTGAGTTTTAGAAAATCCAACCTTAGTTTTATGTACTGACATGAAACCTATTAAACAGTTGGTCAACAGTTATGTTTTTTTTTTTTTTCATCTGCAAGGAATTTGTTTGAAACCAAGCACATTAGATATAACTTTACAGTATCTATATTAGACTGGCAACCCTGTTCAACAGTTCCTATAGTTGTTCATTGAAGATGGTTGCTTTAGCTAACCTTTTAACCCCAGAGGGTGACTAGAATCTGATTTCTTCCTATGGTATCACAGCTGAATTTAACATTGGGTTCTTGAGAATTTAAGAAAAGTTTGCAAACTTGAAAAGCTTCAGATTTTTAACTAAATTCTCCCTGTCAGTGCCATAGGAATTGTATAAAGAATGGTATAGAGATTATACATGCTGATGTTAGGGTGTAAAGGGTTATTAATAGATTGATGTTTCACTGTGCAATCCATTTCATAGCTAGCAACATTTAGGTTTTATTTTTTGCAGGGAAAACATTTAGGTCAATAGATGAAATCCGGAAGGAATTGGAAGGAGTTGATCTTTTTCTGAAAAAGGATATTGAAGAAATTACAAAACATGTTGAGATCCTAAACACTTCTAGTTCCAGTTTAGCAGAGAAGGAGCATGCCCTTGATGAGCTTGAGTATTATGTTCATCAGATAGATAATGCCAGAGATTTGGACACTATTGGTGGACTCTCCCTGGTGATAAAGTTTATGAACTCCTCTCAAGAGAGCCTAAGAACAAGGGCATGTTATGTTCTGGGATCAGCAGTGCAGAGGTAGCTTATTTACTGTTTTTATCAATAATAATAGTTTTTGGGATATTCAAGTACTGAACTGATAATATGCATCTTTTTTGTTGAGAAAATGGATCTAGGAGGCTTAATAGCCAACTGCTTTTTTGGGGGGAAAATGTGTTCCCACTCTTTGAAGAACAGACCCAACAAAACAACAAAAAAATCAAGCCCACTGATCTGAGGGAGGTGCCCAGGTCTCTCGTTCCTACCCCTATTATTTGCCAGTAAAGAACTGGAGCTCTTCTGTAGAGCCAAGACATTCCAATTGATTTATCTTTTTTCAGTTTATTTACTTGTAATTTGGTTATGTTGGGCTTTATGGTTAATCCTCCATACACATGTAAATTAGCCTTTCTAATTTCATCAAGAGGTTTGAAAACAAGATAATTTTTTCTTCCAAAAGGGAGGCCCTGAAGGCTTATTTGCACATAAATAAAAAAAACAATTACCATACCCATTATTATGAAAAATGTGCATTACCTAAAGGGCTAAAATATGAAGCTATGGCAGCAGAGAAGAAGGGCATGTTAATAAAACATAGTTGATAAATGATGGTTACATTAAGATGATTTATAAGGGGTTTGATATGGCATTTTGAATACCATGTTTACATGGTTTTGCAAGAATGACTCTTTTTTTACTTTTTTCATTGCTTATTTTTCTCTTTTGCTTGTCCAAAACAGCAATCTAATGGTTCAGCAATCAGCCTTGAAACAGGGAGCATTACCATTACTTCTTCGCTTGTTGTCCAAACATGAACCAATGGCTGTGCGAAAGAAAGCCATGTATGCACTGTCCTCCCTCATCAGGTTGTTTTTGGTGGGACAGAAAGAATTTCTTAAGCTAAATGGACTTGAAATGTTTGTCAAACTCTTTAATGAGGCAAACACAGAACCTCTGGTTATCAAAGCAATTACTCTGATGACAGATATACTGACAGAACAAATTGAATACGTCACAAGTCTGCTGAGAAAGCAAGGACAGGATGTTTCTGGTGATATCTCTGGGAGGTATGGTTTATGTTTCTTTTTGTGATTATAGTACCTCTATAATTATTTTTATGTGCTCTTTCATAGTCATAAAATATCAGATTTCTTCCCCTTACCATGTCACTAGTAAAATCAGATTTGATCAATATACTTTTTCTATTGGTGTAGTGATCCAACATTGTGAAGGTCCTGTGGCCTTAGTTACTTGCTTCTAAACCCAATATTTCATGTGTAGCATAACATTTCAGTCCTTGACATTTTGTTTCTTGCTACATCATATCAAGTTGGAAACCCATTATGTACTTTTGCCATAATAATAATATTTAACTAACTACAGAGCCTTTAACTCTTTAATTCCCAGAAGTGATTAACAAGTAACTTCTTCCTATAATATCTAAACATTATCCAGCAAACAGGTCATTAGAAAATTCAAACTTATCAGGTTGAAGTTGTTATCTCAGCCGTCTGACCTCATACTCTTGCAACTTATTTACAAGGAAATATGTAGCAGCTCAAGGAGAGAATTTACAATCAAGTTAGTGTCAATAATAATTGACACTAACTTGACAACATTATTCTGATTTTTAGGATGTTCAATTGGAAAGCAAACTGTTAACTCTTATTATAAGATAATGATTTTAACACAGCTTGGGAATGATTTCCAAGGTTGCTTATTTTGAGTCCTGGAAGCTATTCTTGATTTTGTGATATTGTGAAATCATGTATTTCTTAGACTAAATACAGCTCTGATTGACAAATATGAATAATAGATTTTAATGCTTTTCATTAATTACAGGGTCCCTTTGTTAAAAAGCATGATTGAAAAGGGTTGGTGCCAACTTATACCCAGTCTTCTACATACTACAGAAAATGACACCAGAGAAAAAGTTTTACAAGCCCTTCACGTAATGGTAACTGGATGTAAAAGTGAGTTTCAAAAGGCTCACATACAGAACAGCTTAAAAAAACTCAAACTGGAATGGCTCAAAGATGCCAGGGGTTCAGAAGCTAGTGACAGTTCTGAATATGCTGGAATATTGGCACAACTTGTTACAGACCTGATGAGCAAGTTAACATGACTGCAGAGCTTTAGGTAGCATTTCCCTTTACAGGATCCATCCACCTCAGCGTCCTGTTGGTATTTTTGCCATGGAAGGAAGTTTGGTTTTGAAAAAAAAAAATTTTTTTTTCTTGATTACATCGTAGTTACGTGAACCCTGGGATTCTCCGTACTTCTTGCGCCTTGCACTAGTCTCACGCTCATTCGTTCTTTGAGATGTCACGTAACTTCTCCCTAAGTGTTGCGTGACATGGTAAAAAACAGTTGCGAAGGAGACCGTGCTTTACATGACTTTGCATTAGCCTTTGTCTGAAAAGGAAGCCAACGACTGGTAGTGATCTTCAACTTCATTTCCCGGTCACGATACAATGATAGTAAAAAAGTAAAAAAGAGTTATAAGATTACTGCCAATGTCACAAAAGGGGATGTACTCATTTGACATCGAACATGAAGGGACCTTCACCGGTTTGGACGCCGTGTGATATTCCGAGTGAAGATCTCGAATTAAACCTTGTCTGACATGTAACTTAAAGTCAGTTCCATAAGAAGTCCGGAAACCTGGTAGTTGTTAGAATGCACACTTGTAAAATAGAAGTGTCAGTTAAGTTTTTTACTAATTTCCTGACAATAGAAGAAACCAGACTCTGACATAAGACGTCTTGAAAGCCGTTGTTTGGTCTAACCCCGTAGGCTACGAAGGAGACTAGGTTTTCATTGGATCACAGAATCACTGCGATTGCAATGATCCCAGCATTCACATCAAAACCAGGATTTACGGACGTAGAGTCTTCAAGGGCGCTTGTACGTACCTCTAGTAATTTCTTAAATATTTAATACTTCGATTTTTGCAAAAATCGTCTTTAATTATTAAGTCGGTTGTTCTTACGGATATCTTATTACTTTCCTGGGATTCGACTTAATGAAATAAGGAATTAAAAGTTAATAAAAACGCTTTTCAATGCAATGTTGAAGTTCAAAACTGACGTAACGATTGCGATACACAGACTTGGTCTTTTACCACTTGGAACCTGTTTTCCAAAGAGGTTCTCAAGTTCACCCGTACTGAAAGGAAACGTGCCATCATCACGTCGATCCTACTTTAAGGTCATGCACGTGTTAACTTTACCGTCAGGCGCAGATCTTCATGGCCACCCAGAGACCACGTAGAATGATGTATGGCCGAGCGCTTAAGGGTGTTCAGTTTGACTTTAAGGTCAATTCGTAATATCCATTTTCAGTTTCTTTTTGAGGGTCTAAAATAGACTTCTTCAATCCCGCATCACGCCGCTATTTTTTCATTTCATCCCGCCATTCCGTCGTAAGAAACGTTTTCATCCCGATCGCGCCGTTTCTCTAGTTCACCGCCAACTGATGGACAAATTAAAACCTTAACAATATTGATAATGTACTCTCGTTATGGAGAAAGGCGAAGACTTGCTTAACGTATATTTAGCCGGCTTAAAAAGCGGTTGTTCCTCGGTGTGTTTCCTCGGTGTGTTTATGGTCTCTTTCAGGCTGGGTCTCTTTTAAGCGAGACAGAAAAACTCAACCTACAGAAGGACTAAAAGAAAAGCTGTACTGTTACAATAGTGGATAGAATTCTTCAGCCGATCGCCCAAAAACATAAGTCATATCTCAAAGATACAGCAAAGTTCATCTACTTTATAGAAAATACAAAGCTTCCGAAAGAAA